TTGTAGTAGTAGTGGTGGTGGTAGTGGTAGTAGTAGTGGTGTTGGTAGTGGTAGTAGTGGAGGTATTGTTGGTAGTAGTATAGTAGTAGTGGTGAAGCCGTAGACAGGTGATGGTGACCTTGGCCAGCCTCTGCCCTCACCTGTTGGTGCTCCCCAGTGCTGTGTATAACCTCAGCTCTTCTATAACGTTTATCTCCCTCTGTATTAATATCTGATACCTGACCCTGTATATTCTACGAGAACATGAAACACCCCATATTACCCTCTTCTTATATTTTGTAGAAGTCATTTATTCTCCAAAATAATCAATATCCTAAGAACTACAAATATTTAATTTAAATCTCTCTCTCTCTCTCTCTCTCTCTCTCTCTCTCTCTCTATATATATATATATATATATATATATATATATATATATATATATATATATATATATATATATACCGGTACCAGGGCTTGAAGTGTAAAAAAATCTGAACCACCATTGTCAGTGGCGAGGGTAGAGGGCCCATACAGCTTTAGGGATATTTTGAGGCCATATATATGCACTGGATATTAGGACAGACAGTATTCTAAGATTAGGGATGGAATGTTTCCAATATCATAAGTGTGATTATCAATACGGACTTGTACCAAACTGTCCTGGTCCAGACATTACAAGGGGCCTCAGAACCTTCAAGGGGACAGACACCCTCTGTATTCACCTATGCTGCAGGTGCATACAGCGCTGAAGTACCGTGCTGAGTGCTTCCCCTTTGTAAGCCATTTTAGTATACTGGTTTGGACTGAACTGAGCTAATGGAGGTTGTCATTATATCCACTATTTTTTTTTAGGATTATTGAGGTCTTGAAATTTGAACCGGAACATTTGGGGCATTAACCCGAACCACCACTGAGTTAATAGTGTTCCAATGTGCTTTAAGACCTGACCGGTACAGAATATCCTGCCAGACAAGTGTTGATCTCCTGATGTTTAGTATTCAATAACTTACCTTGCCTTACACTATTACTCGTAACGTACACAAGGGGTTTGTATTGCACACTGACTGCATTTCGGCCCTGCGTCTGCCTGAAACACTAGTGAACATTTAAGGCGATGTGTGCCAGAATGGTGAGTGGTTAAGTGGCTTCACTTCCAAGAGGCCAAAACGTAACTCAAACATTAAGAGTTGAGGCCCAACCTTAATAAGCCTCAAGCTAATTAAATATAACTTATCAGAAAAAGGGGCCCAGTTTACTGCAATAGGTTACTGTAGGTTAAGTTGGTATCTTTCATAAACAGATAACGTATGCTAGTCGGTGGTGTGGATGAGGAAAGAATGTACCCAGACAGAAGACTTACATACACACACTACTTCCGTGTTGCCCCGCACCCTGGCCTAAATAATACACCACACAGCCGCCTCACAGGGTCACCACTAAAACCCATCAAGGAACCTCTAACAGACCCCGAGCCTTCACGTTGTAAATAAAGAAGTTATATGTCAACTTGATTTTTCCGATACTTAAGATATTTACACTGGATAGGGTGATCATTATTCACATACTGTACAATGAAACTGAATAAGAAGGGAATTATCGGATCACCTGAAGATTAGACACCCCCGATTATTTTACTCCATTTTTTTTACAGGATTAGCCCACCAGGGCACAGGTCAATGACCCACAGCAGGACCTGGGGGCGAAAATATAAAACAGTAATAATAATAATAATAATAATAATAATAATAATTAATAAAAACTCATAAAAAATCATAAAATAATATTAAATAAAAATATAATAATAATAATAATAATAATAATAGACCATAAAAAATAAAAAAAAGATCAATAGTGAGAAACCATATGCTAAGTACTGTATGTTGTGTTGACAATAAGAGAAACAATTGAGACCCTGCAGTTGTGTGTAAATGAGGCAGAAAGTCAGATCAGCAACCTAGGACTTGGTCACAATTTTCGTGAAGCCATATGGCAGCAGGGTCTACCATTAGACAATACATCTTTACAGACTCCCAGTTTGGATTTAGAGCTAGAAGGTCGACTGAGAGTGCTCTGCTATCCTTGACTAATGACATCTTAAATTCCTTTGATGACAGTCAGTTCACAGTCGGAATATTCTTAGACCTCTCTAAAGCCTTCGATACTGTCGACCATACCATCCTCCTTTCAAAGCGTGAACATTACGGCGTTAGGGGCCTATCCCACAATTGGTTTTCCTCATCTGTCCAACAGGATGCAGTATGTCTGCTATAATAATCACCAATCTGACTCCTCGCCAATCTTGTATGGCGTCCCCCAAGGTTCCATTCTCGGTCCAGTACTGTTTTTGTTGTACATAAACGACATAGTCCACGCCAGCACACTCATAAAATACAACTTATTTGCAGATGATAGTAATTTCTATGCCAGCAACTCAGACCTCCATTCCTTGATGAGAACTATGAACACTGAATTGACTAAAGTCAGGACTGGGTAATACGTATTAAACTGACCTTAAACCTTGAGAAAACCCACTACACGATCTTTCACAGAAGAAAAAGTTTACCCCCAGACTTGAACCTCTGTACCTTGGGAATACAGTCCTCAAACGCTAACAAAATACTAAATTCCTCGGAGTTATTGTTGACGAGAAACTTAACTGGAGAAACCACATACAAGCCATTCACAGTAAAGTCAATAAACAGTGCTGTATCATGTATCACACTCGACAGTCACTCACTCTCACAGCAATGAAAGAAATCTATCATGATCTTGTTTACCAACACCTGATACACTGTCACACACTATGGGGGCCTCTGGCTCTTCAAAAACACAATTCCTCGTTACTGCACAAAAGAGAGTTGTACGGACAATGACCTACTTGAAAAAAAAATCACACAAACGAAAAATTGCTAAATTGAAAATGCTAAAATTCGAAGATATTAACACCTACTGCTGTGCCCTCTTTGTTTACAAATCTATCAATCATTTGCTTGACAATAATTATTTCCAGTTCCGGAATAATCAGAGATACAACTTGAGGCACCCAGAGCTACTAAGACCACCCCCATGCGCTCCTCTCAGTCCCAGACCTCCATAAAATATCACAGTGTGGAACAACTTACCCCCACCCATCCGAGCAAAGACTACGCTCCCTTCCTTTAAATCATCTCTTAAAAAATATCTATTGTCTAAGTAGTAATATTTCTTGTAATACCTACTATATTTTTAGTTTGGTTGGGTTGGGTTTGATTAGGTTGAGCTAGGTTGGGTTAGGTTGAGCTGAGCTGGGTTAGGTTAAGGTAGGTTGGGTTAGATTAGGTTAGGTTTGATTCTGTTAAGTAAAACTAGGTTGGGTTGGGTTGGGTTGGGTTACATTAGGGCCTATAGATACACTAGTGAAGCCCACATGACCAATCTCCAGTTAGAGCCAGTGAGCATCTGAGTGGCAAAAGGCTTAGGGACGAGCTCCAAGTTTAGCCTATACGTGAAGGTAATCGCTGTGTAATCCACCCACTGGGAGGCCTTACACGTACTACGGCTTTACTATACAATGAACGGAAATTTCTACACTTCCTTAGCCTATGGTGATTGGTCAAATGGGCCCCAGTTCCATTAGACACCCCACCCCCCTAACTGAATCTATTACTACCTATTAAGATTGGGTCTCTCAATCCTAATGGTCCTCTCAAATATTAATAGACCCAGTTACAATGGTGCTATTAACCTGAATGGTGTCTACTAGGAATGGAGTCTATTAAGAACAGGGCATATTTTTTTCACCCATAACTGAAGATACTAGACACGTGCAGGAGGAAGGAGGGGGGACAGTAAGAAGCCCCAAATGCGGTGTTGGGTGATATAAGTTCTGTGTGTAGCTATAACATGTGGCGCCCCTCAGTATCTTGTAGCGAAAAAAAAAAATATGAAGCGTAGAAATGTCCCTCGTAATTACCCTCCCATTGATTCACCACAGATTCAAAGTGAAGAAAAGTGTCATCTACATATCGCTTGTTACACGTCAAGAAGTCAGGGAACATTGTACGTCGGTTTATAGAAGACCTAGTACGTATAGGCCTACAGGATTAACTACCAGATACCACTCCCTCGTACAAGTGTCCTGTACAAAAGGAACCTAATATCCGCCTTAGTCACGAGGGCTTACAATATTGGCTCATGTTATTGTCAATTTCATCTTGAAGTAAAATATTAAATCTCAATGGCTTCCCGCTTAACTTTGTTGATACTTATAGGGAAACAACTCTCTAATTCACTCAAACCTCACACTCAGCCACCAATGCCAGCAAAGCCTTAGTATATTATCCAGTACAGTACCAAAGACCTTGTAGCTATGGTAGTTGCTAATTATGAGTGGCACTGAGAGGTGTTCTGTATAGCTTAAGTTGTCAATTCGGATTCAGTAAGTTATCTTAAACATACTGTCCAATGTTTCTGCATATATTTTCTTTTCAGGAGGACTTTTGATAAATTCATTGTTTCAAACTTGTTCCGAAACTATTACACAAAAATATGCCAACATATGATTCAACTCTTTTTAAATTTCTAAGTTTGTAGGTGAAAACACAGGTCCAGGGTGGTCAAACCTAGTGTATATACAGGGAGGGAGGGCTGTGTTGTTTGGGGAGTGGAGAAGCAGCTCCACACACCAACTTGTGGCCACTAACAGGCTTAGCGCCACAACTCACGATTCTTTGGCAGGTTTCCCGTAATGTCGTCGGTGTTCTTTCACAAGTGTCACTGTTGTTGTATATTTACCAAGAGCTAATTTATGACCACAACTCACTGACGTTTGTATAAGTTTATATCTTCATGGTGGTATGGTATCATGTTTACTTGAAGGAGGGGGTTGACTTGCAGGTTTTGACCGCAGGTGTTGAGAGTGAACACGGAAGCCAAGAACTAGGCAGTCCCCGGCGCGAGCACGGGGGAGGGGAGGGTGGTTGGAGGTGGATAGTGTACCGTGGGGCCTCCTTCACACAACGCCCTCAGTGTCGTCTCAGCTGCTGTATGAGCTGCTGTTTCATGCTAACACTGTGTGTACGCAAGTGATTCGTACGGGACACCAGCTTCATGTGGAACTATCATCACACGTGTGTACAGTGACCCTTCCTGGTGGCCTTTGCTCTCACTGGGCCATTTAATGTGGTCAGCCGTGTAGTGGTGTTGTGTGTCGTTCCCACACCCCCATACTGTGATAAAACAGTACACATGTCAGTGTGACTGGTACAGTTACCTTCAGTGTTGTGAGTGTGGGTGTTATGCCCTGGGAGCGTCCAGGGCGACACAGGTGCTGGAGTGTGTAGAAAACTCCACAGTGTGCTGGTGGTGGTCGCCTGCCCATGGCTACTGACCGACTACCCATATACACTGCTACTTAACATCTTCCTATCTTTCTTCTCCGTAAGTCATTGTATAACCTTTGCACGTCCTCATGTAGAAATAACTTTTAAACACGATGACGCGATCTACAGGCTACCAACCATCCACTCAAACATTTCATCCTTAGTCTCTGTTTTAGGTGTTAGGAAGATACAGTAGTGGCGGCGATAAGTCTCAGATTTGATTTAATATCTGTATCAGATTATAATTAACCACCAGGATAAGATCACAAGTACTGCAACAAGAGATTACCAATTTTATATTTTATCTAGTTATAGTTGGTCTATTGTTGGTGTAATAGTCAGCATGTTTCCCTCGCAAGCGAGCGGACCCGTGTTCGATCCCCGGGCAGGGTGAAACGCCATTTGCTTCTGTCTACCCAGCAGTAATGGGGACCTGGATGTTAACCATTACCCCGGATCGTGTTCCGGGGTAATGGTTAGCCAGTGCAGTTGGCGAGTTGTCCGGTCTTCTCGGACTATTCCTTGACACTGGGTCATGCAACTCGTTAACTCAAGGTGTGGTTGTGTTGGCGACAGCTTCTACACCTTAAACAAGTTCACACCTAGGTGGCCCTGGAGTTACCGTGAGAGGTGTTTGGTCAGAGAGATCTATTGTACGGTTCTATTTCGATTTATTGTCATACCAGTATTTGTAAATAAAATGGAGTCGCCAACAACTGATCAGCAGCGTTTATGACTGGGTGCAGGATAAGGATAAAAAAGCTATCAGTGTGTTAATCAATCAGTTAATGGTTTTAGTTTTGTGAATTAAACAAAGACAGTTTTCCAGGAATAATATGAACTACTCCAGACGCCAGAAGAATGGTGCCAGTTCGACCTGGGGCCAGATCGTGAGGATTGGCCACGGTTACCTGTACAGCGCAGCGCTCTCTTGATTGCGCTTCAGTAACGTTCCCTAACCTAACCTAACCTAACCTAACATTTGCTATTTAGTGTGTTGTGATGAAACATAACTATTCGTGAATATTATGACTTAAGTTGTGCTGCCTTAGTGCCAAATGGTTAAATGGGCCCCAGTGTTAATAGGCCCCAACCTAACCTAACCATTAGAGTCGGTGGCCAGACGTAATGGGCCCCAGCCTTAAAGGTAAAGTTAGACTAGGTTAGGGCCGGGGTCCACTTAACCTGTAACCCGTGGTGGTAGTGAGTAAATGAATCTACGTCTCCAAATTACTAAATCATTCACCTCGTGTTAGTTCAATATCTGTAAACTAACGAATATTTAAAACATTTGTTAGGCAGCAAACTGTCGTCAATGCGGGTAGACTGATTAGGTATATATTTTATTTACCATCTGTTGTCCGATAATAATAAGTTAGTTATGATAATAATAATAATAATAATAATAATAATAATAATAATAATAATAATAGTATAGGCACACCAGGAACACCACGTTAATTACAGATCTAAATATTTACATAACGGACATTATTCACCATGAAGTTACTTCCAAGTGATAACAGTGTAGGCCCTTAGGGTATGACGTCAGTGTCTCGTTCGGCTGACACTGACGTGGACGAGTGAAACAGTAGATGTTTTGTACTGAGGATGAAGGACCAATCAGGGCGCGTCTCGTGGAGTTCATTGACACCAATTAACATGAATGACAGTCACAAGTCAGTTTTTCCACAGGGTCATTATTGTATGTGACATCGCTCAGCCTTTCACACAGGTCTACCGTCCTCCAGGTACTGCCGACCAGTGGGTCACTAGGCCGAGACTGTGCCGTTAGCCAAAATAAACAGTTCGGACAATATTATTTTGGAGCTCGACCTCAAAGTTGTCCTTCAAATCAATTTTCGTGACACCTCTTTACAGTACTATTTTATACTACCATATGGAAGAGATGGCCGGGGGTAATTTTAAGAGCAAGTGAAGGGCACGTGTCAAGCAGTACAAGACTACTTCCCAAAGTCTCAGCACAACAACACGTCTAACACCTCAAGGATTTTACATTCTTCAAATTACAACGTTTCATTAGACTCCGTTCTTGGACTTCGACTATCTTTTACTCCTAACCAGTGACGTGACACAGTGTAATAAAATCCTCAACTGCAGCGACTCTCAAGCTGTGATTATATGAAGGTTGTCGTTATTGTATCTCTCAGTGGTTAAGTGCAGATGCAGAGCCTTCAGTGACCTGTATTGTTCATCTTCTCCTTGTGTGTTATGAGTGGAGGATCTGTTGCAGGGAATTCAATTGAGCTTTAACACATGACTATTTGGTAGCTTGCTTTCACTAAGCTTCATGGAAACAGGTGGCCATGAAAAAGTTGTCTGGTGAATAATAAACATTGAATATTAATGTATAAGGAGGCATAGATAACACAGGCCACAGTATGACTAATGCCCGGCTTATTGACACATTTCTGTACACATCTTGCAGGTCACATTGTTGCGAGGGTCTCTTGTTACTTTCCTTATCATTTCTTCTCTTCCAAGTTCAGCCAGTGCCAGTCAGTCTCTGATGTCTTGATTAACAGATTTTTGAAGGTCTTGTCTTTCATAAATTTAGGGAGTCTGTGAGCTAAATGGCGGTCAATAAAAAACCGCAGAGTCGGGAGGAAGTTATGCATTATACTGTACCTCCTGATTCAAGTTGTTTGCAACATCATGATTAGTTTACGCTGATTAGTTAAGGATAGGCTGGGCTAGTTTAGGGAAGGGGAGATTAGGGTATGTTTAATTATGAGGCAAAGTTTAATTATGTCGTGATGGCCAAGGACGCCTTATATGCGTGGTTATAAAAATGAAAAAAATACAAAAAACATTCGAAATAGTTTGTTCCATTTTAAGTTTTATTTCGGGTTTGACTATTAAGTATGACACAAGTGATGGCAGACGTCCTGGAGTGCCTGGTTTATTCAGGCAGCTGTATGACACTTGAATATTATTAAGACACTTGTGTATCTAGTAATATTTAGCTAAGTATTGGTAGCAGCTCAACAGTGAGGCCCCGCTGTGTATACTGGTGCATACAATATATTCTTGTCTTCTAATAACCTTTACGTAGCATCGTGGGTGATTGAGGGTAAAAACTAACGATAAATTGAGATAAAACAGCTGAATGAAGCACAGTCTACCCTCACCCATCGACTGACTAAATCATCGCCATCCACCAAGCCGTCCAGGAGCAGCTGACAGTTGGCAGATTAATGAAAAAAAAATTTAGATGATAAAATTTTATTAATAAATTATGAACAAAAACGACGATAAACAAAATCCGATGTACTGGTAAATGTTGACCCACGGGCCGGTATCATAGATTTTGAGCCGATCATCTAGAATCTATAGTATAAACAGGTCACGACGTCACTGATCTGAAAATAAATATGGAATTCTTGGTGAATCACATTATATAGCCTCGGCGGTGTAAGAGAGCAGCCATTGGAATTTTAAAGGCACGGACCTCGTTTTTCACAAAACCTATTAGTTGAATGACTACTGGCTGCCACGCCCGCCCGACACTCTGGGGCTTCCAGAGCGGATTAATAGGTGAGGGTCCTGACTGGCGGCTACACCTGCCGCCTGCACCACCACACTATACCACTATGTCTGACCCATATATCCAATATACGTACCATTATCCATAGGAATAAGTCAATAATAATAGTCTCTACACGTACAATGATTTTATAAGTGGTAAATTCAACACACATTTCTGGCACGGTGATCTCAGTACAGTACTCTGCGTGCTCAGACTGCAGAGGTAATTTCTGCACGCTACGCCGGCCCCTTAAAAATTCCATGCAGGAGCCAAGACAAAACGCATTCGCTAATACAGGTCCTACAGACGCTCTATCTTAGCCAGTTGTTCCAGTAATAACCGCGGAACTGGTCGTTAGTGAGTCACATTCAGAAATAGTGGGGGGGAGGGCACTATTTCTGAATGTATGTTTCCATCATGTACAATGAAAGACAAAATTCGTGTCGTGAAATTTGGTGAAAACATATGCCAAAGGGCAAAACTTTTGGCGGGCTCTGCCACAGAGCCACACCAGGTCCCGTCATCACTGTAAAAAGTAATCCACTATAGCATCATCATTATCATTGTTTTATCATAATTGTCAGTTATCATTATCATCGTTATCAATATCATTATCAGTTATCATTGTTATCAATATCATCATCATCTTCAGTTATCATTATCATCGTTATCAATATCATCATCATCATTAGTTATCATTTTCGTCGTTATCAATATCATTATCATCATCAGTTATCATAATTGTTATCAATATCATCTTCAGTTATCATTATCATCGTTATCAATCTCACTGAGTTCAGCGTTGTTTGCTTGGTTTGTCGCAATTCTGACTTGGTAAATTACTCAGAGCAGAAAATTACGGTTAATCTCATAATGATTTAGATTACTGGCCTTAATGTGAGTAAGTGAAACATGGCGTATAGGACACGCAGGTTACTCATCTTTTACGGTGATGATAAAAACCTCCTCCTTTCCTGCTTCCAACATCTGGTGTCTTTCTCATACCCCCGTTCTTTACACTTTGATAGTTCCATTGTCATCCAGGAAGTTGTTGAGAGTCAGGTCAACTTTCACTGTTATAACTGTAAAACTAACCAGCATTCTAGTCAGTGTCGAGAATTAAAACAATTCCTCAGTCCTTTAACACTGGAGTAATGGTCGGCGTCTATGATCAAGATGAGTTGGCAGACCTGTCCCGCCTTTAACCTGTACGAGCTTTGGCACGAGAACAGGAAGTTGACTACAATTGAATATTGTCTCATGAACCGCTTGCGGCTCACGAGGAACGGTTTCACCACCCCTGGATAGCCCGAAAGTTGTTGCCACACCATTTTGTAATTTTTTTGCGCCATTTATACTTGTTATTTTTAAATCAAGATCACAGTGTTGATAGTGATGTCCGGTGTTTAGTAATATACGATAACTTAACTACCTTTAATGAGTGGATATACATTAAGTATATGTTTCCTGTCACAGGTTGACGTCTGGGGCACCCTTAGTGTAGTCATTTGTGGATGGGTACCTGACCTTTGTAAGTGAGGAAGTAAAGAAGGTCGGCCACACTGCTCCGTATACTGGATCCGCACCGCCTGTAGTGGGCCGTCGGGCCAAATGTAACTTATACCTTCACATAACGGTGTTTATTATTAATTTAATATCACTTTACAGTCATGATTTTAATGTGAGGCATTAGCTGTTTAAAAATTCTTTGCAACTTTGATATTAATGTTTAATAATAATAATAATAATAATAATAATAATAATAATAATAATAATAATAATAATAATAATAATAATAATAAAAATATTATTATTATTAATATTATTATTATTATATTAGCTGCTTCCTTGGTATTTGATTATATTGTCGAACAGTTTAATTTTTTTTTTAAACTACTCTACTGTGTATTTTTTAACAACTTATTAGAGGCAATTTTTAAGGTAGTAGGTAGTAGGCAGCTACCAAACAGGGAGGAACTACCGCCTGGGAAGATATTGGAAGCATAATGTGTTGTCTAATGATAGACCCTGCTGCCATATGGCATCACGAAAATTGTGACCAAGTCCCAGGTTGCTGATCTGACTTTCTGCTTCATTTACACACAATTGCAGGGTCTCAATTGTTTCTCACTTATGATATTTTTTTTCTTCATTTTTGTATTTCTTCATTATTATTATTATTATTATTATTATTATTATTATTATTATTATTATTATTATTATTATTATTATTATTATTATTATTATTATTATTATTATTATTATTATTATTATTATTACATTTTCTCCCCCTCCCCCAGGCCCCGATGTGGGTCAGTGACCTGTGCCTGGGTGGGCTAATACACATTAAAAAAAATTATAATAATTAGTAAAGCATAATAAAGCTAGAGCTGTTGCCCTACAGGCTGAGCAAGATGGCTTACGAGGAAATGAGCAGATACCTGGACTTCCGGGCACTACTGGAGCCCGGGACCAGGTTCACCCTCACCCGTGTCATCGCCACCGGCACCTACGGCGAGATCTACGAGGCCACCGACACCGAGAATGGTGAGTAGACCAGCCCCGGGGTGATCATTATGAACTGCTCTAAACCAATCCACTCCCGGCTCAGTATACACTACCAGCTTGGCCTTATAACCCAGCAAGTAACAAATAACTTAATCACCCCAGATAGTTAAGGGGTGGGTTAGATTTGGGTTGTTACGATGTGGTTACGACATTACGATAATTTAATTTTTTTAAGAATTCTGGATAAAGAAAAACTCTCAGCTCGGAATATAACATTATTTTTATGTGGTCTAATTAGTGTAACGATTGTTTATACGTAAACAGTATAAATGAGGTTAGGTTAAGTTAGGTTAGGTTACGATGTGCTAGATTAGATTAGCTTAAGTTAAGTTAGGATGTGTTTGGTTTGGTTAGGTTAAATAAGTTTGGGAAAATTAGAATAGGTTTACTTAAGATAAGATTGAGAAATGTTAGGTTACTTTAGCTTAGGTAAGATTAAGTTACTGTAGATAAGGTTAACTTAGTTTAGTCTAAGTCAGGTTTGGGACCATTATATATTAAGTCATATTACTACTTAGAAACCTTAGGATGGCGTTAAGTTAAGGCAGTAGATTATGTTAACTAATTTGCTCTTAACAATATTGTGTAAGTAAGCGTGACAGTCGTGGACTACACCAACAGCAGTAGTGGTGGCTGGAGGCGCCTCACTTAGGCTTACATTTAACTAGGTCAAGCCTCTCACTGAACCGTTTACATAACGGTAAAAGTCCCAATTGGTAATATAATTTGTAGTGTAAATAATCGGTATTTGTTCGCTTGGTTCATAGTTTTCAATTTCTGGCTGTCCACTTCCCAGGTTAATCAAGGTTCACCTGGTCTCATGTCTTGTTCTTAGTCTGTGGTTGTTCATGTACTGTAGTCTTGCCGGGGAGGTTGTTGCTCTGGGGCTCTGGTTGTGTTGAAGCTCAGGAAGACCCTCACTAGGTGTTGAGTGTTTGGTTTAGTTATTTCTATTGACTGACAGTTTCGGAATGTTTATTTGTGTTAACCCACTTATGGTATTTCACTTGGCTGACGCTAGACGGTTTTATTCAGCTCAGAGGGGAGCCCGTACACAGTGGTCAATAATGATGTGTGGAGTTGATAATGGATTTGGTGAGGCGATGTAGTGTAGTGTTACGGTGTGTTGATTATATTAGGCCGTGTTAATGAAATAAATTGTTTAAACGTTTAAAGAAAAAATAGATGCATTTTTAATATAAATTTCCTTGATTTTTTTCATAACGTGAGACAAATGACACTAAATTGCATGGAAATATAATCAAATTTAAGCATCATAAAGCATGAGTCGTGTAGGTTTGGATCACTTGGCTCTTCAAATAATATGATCAGTTATGGTGTGGACTGTAGTTTGTCTGTCGTAGACGTTGTCATTTGCTCTAAGAACTTATAACCAATAATTCCATACCAAGTGCCGGCGAACAATGTCTGCAGCTTCTTCTGAATAAGTTAAAATAATACCAACTGTTGTGGGAGAAACGCAACAGGTAGTACAAGTGGGAAGAATGGTTTTTGTGTCCTTACTGACCCAGCAGCGAAACCCAGGTAGACGTGCATATTGTTGTTATATGCAAAGTATAAAATGACTAGAGCGAGGAGATGTGTTCAGTGAATACATCTCCTCGCTCTGTTCGCAATTAACGAGAACAATGTCGAAGGTTATGACAGCTCTTTTGTAGTTGGTGACAATGAACGAACTACTGTTGTATCGCCAGGAACCAGAGTAAATGCAGAATTTCTTTATTCTTTTCTTAAATACTTCTCTGATGATTTATATTTCTCTATTTCTGTTATTCCTGTTGTATTATGTAAGGTATCTTATTATGCTATTCTCATTATTATGATAAGTAATTTATTTTGTCTGTTTACCTTTTTTCTTCTGTCCACCGAGGGCGAGGAACAGCTCTAGGAGCCACCCGGGGAGTAGTATGGGAATTATATAAAGGCAGTAGGCGATTTAAAGCATTTGGTGGGCTTCTTCAAACCCAGCTAGGGAAGCCACTGGTGTCATTCCTCCCTCTTTCCCCACATGGAGCACCGAGCGAGGTAACAGGTGTGTGTGGGGGCGGCGATATGGTCGAGGTATATAAATGGAAGTCAGGGCTAAATAAATGTGATATAGCAAAGGTACTCAAACTATCCAACTAGGAGCGAACTCGTAGCAACGGTTTTAAATTAGACAAATTTAGATTTAGGCGCGAAATAGGTAAACACTGGTTTGTAATTATAGTAGAGGATAAGTGGAACAAGTTACCAAACATTATCATTAACTCGAATACGCTGGATAGCTTCAAACATAGGTTGGATGGGTATATGAGCAAGAGGGGTTGGGTGTAAATGGGACTGCCCAGTATTGGCCAATAGGCCCGCTGCAGTTTCCTCCGTTCTTATGTTCTTATGTGTGTGTATGTGCGTGTGTGTGTGTGTGTGATAATAATAATAATAATAATAATAATAATAATTAGCGGTTTATTGAAAAAATTCTGCAGCCCAAAGACTGAAAATATACATAAATGACTTATTACATACATTGGTGTGGGGAAGCTAACATAGGCAATCATTAGAGAAAAGAAAAGGGACATACAGTGAACATACAATTTAATGTTTACAGTGGAGGTCACTTGAGCTGAGGTGTTGAATTGCAAACAAGTACTGTAGTAATTCCCTCACAGATGGTGTTATGTGGGGCCTCACGTGGTGCAGTAATTCCCTCACAGATGGTGTTGTGAGGGGCCTCATGTGTGTGTGTGTGTGTGTGTGTGTGTGTGTGTGTGTGTGTGTGTGTGTGTGTGGGAGGGTTTGTGTTTGTGTATGTTTGTGCATGTGATCAACTCGGAATAAAAAACAGTCAATCAGGCGTTGTAAGGGTTTTATAAGCATCTGACTATTTTACGAGACACGAGTTCAGTGGAGAAACTTCTGTCAGTAGTTAAGTTGTCTCTCTGGCCCTGTGACTTAACTCTGACTGGCCCAGGCTTCAGACAGTTGAAATACGTACAGTAGAGTAGTAACTTTTTGATAGCGTCTGGTTCAAAACTTCAACTGTGGACACGAAGATAAACAATGTGGTTGTTATGATTAAAAAAATAACACGTAATTGGATGTCGCTTTTTAAGTATTGTAGGTATGAGAAAAATAATGACCCCCAAAAATTGACTCATAAAAGGGATGGTCTAATACCTTGACGACAATGAATTTAGTCCAGTGAGCGAAGAAAATTTAACAATGACCGACTAATTGCTTTCCTATTTGGCAGATAATCGTAAGGTGGCGGTGAAGATTATCGACAACATCAAGGAGAACTTGGAGGAGATCGAGGAAGAATTTCGCGTTCTCGCCGAGCTCTCCCTCCACGAGAACTTTCCACAGTTCGCCGGCATATTCCTCAAGAAGTCCAGCAACCTCGAGGACCACCAAATATGGTTCGTCATGGAGGTGAGGAGGACCTTTGTGGTGAGGAGAACCTGGTGGTGAGGGGGACCTGGTGGTGAGGGGGGACCTGGTGGTGAGGAGTACCTGGTGGTGAGGAGTACCTGGTGGTGAGGAGTACCTGGTGGTGAGGGGGACCTGGTGGTGAGGAGTACCTGGTGGTGAGGAGTACCTGGTGGTGGCTGTGACAAGGAGGGGAAAGGAAAAACACCTGATGAACGTTTTTTTCATGTAATCATACACACCAATACATGTATATGAGAATATTAATAGGTCATTACTCCACAGTTGATGACACACGGATCAGTGTCGGAGTTGGCCCGCGCCTACAAGAAAAGGGAGGAGAGGATGTCCGAGAGCCTCATTGCCTACATCCTGAAAGAGATTTTAACGGTCAGTACCTCCATGTGTTGACAGTGTGTGTGAGGGGTGGGTGGTATATGTAAGGAGCAGGCAGTGTGTGCTAGACGAAGGAACATTTTTGTAGGGAAAGAGAATGTACAAGTTGTGCATGTAGGTCCTAGTATTCATCTTAACAAAGCCACGTTGAAACCCACATATATCCTGTATAGAGCTTATCTTATGACCAAACAGCAGAGACAAGTTTTACAAATAACACCCTACTAGTGGTGCTCCTCTTCCAGGCGGTGCAGCATCTCCATCAGGCTCACGTAATGCACAGAGACGTGAAGGGGATGAACGTCCTCATCACCGACGAGGGCAAGATCAAGCTCGTCGATTTTGGTAAGTGATTCTGCCGGACTTTGAAAACTGGTTCCCTGTTGTTGACGTACTACATTCTTTCCTGCCTTACTAAGTCTTAACGTAATTACTATTTCTATTTTCACAAGTGAGCCTTTACCTAAGATACAGTGTAGCCAGAATCAAGAACAACACTGTAACGTGTGTGTTCTAGTGTGGAGTTCCACTTGTAAAACACATCCACTTACTTTAGGGTCCAGGAATAAAGTAAGTAAGTGCGCATGTGTTGCAGGTCAGTGTGGCCACCTGGACTCGACAATGGCCAAGCGGAACACGGCGGTGGGGACCCCTTACTGGATGGCTCCTGAGGTGATCGAGTGTGAGCAGAAGGCAGACCAGGAGTACGACAACCGCTGTGATGTGTGGGCCCTCGGTGAGTGACGCCCAGTATGTGTGATGGTGGTGAGTGACCACCACTGTGTCTGACAGTGTTGAATAACAGGAACGATAAGTTTTGGTGTACAGTAGGTGACGTGTGTGGTTAATGAAGGTGTTTACTGACGTGTAGTGCCTGATATCCCGACACAGGCATCACGGCCATCGAGCTTGCTGACGGTGACCCGCCCTACGCTGACATCCACCCGGTGCGCGCCCTCTTCCAGATCGTAAGGAACCCTCCTCCTGTCTTAAAGAGATCTTCCGACTGGTCTCAGGACTTCATCGATTTTATATCAGAGTAAGTGGTCATGCTTCTTGGTTCTGAGTAAATTTCTCTTTACATAGTTCCCTTGATATACAGAAGTTTTTAATGAAAATTTTGACACATGGCGGGTTCAAGCATGATTTCTTTTACTAATTTTTCTTGGTTTGGGGGAAAAATTTAACCCATACTTCATGATTTCAAGCAACATTTTTAACCAGGATTGATAGTTTCGAGTATTTTTCTGTTTATATGAGAGAGCTAGGTTTATCCATGTCAAATCTGTCTGTGTGTCGTGTTTACCAAACGCTTTTGGGGTCCGAAATAGGCCCAGAGTCGGGTATTTCGTAGGGGTCAAAAATTTCATATATATGTTTGTCAGGTGGGAAAGAACACATTGTATAGTGGGATGGTGGTGATGAGGCAAGAAATTATTTGGTGGTGATGGGATGATGAGTTGTGTAATGGTGACGGGGATACGGGAGTAATGTAGTGGGGATGGTGATTGGGGGAGACAGGCACTAAGAGGTGTTGGTGATGGTATACAGATGCTTGGTGAAGACGCCCGACCACCGGCCCGTCTTGATAGAAGTGATGGAGCATCCCTTTATCACCTCAGTGCCCGAGGACCTTACCGAGGTCAGTCCGGTCATCCACTACCCTACGTCCTAAAGGATGAAACTATATGTGTCTGTCTGTCTGTATTTAAATCTATCTTGTAATAGTTAAAGTAGAATAGCTTACGGTTTTACTACTCACCATCGTTGTGTACTTGCACTGGCTAGACACATAGGAAACTGTATACTCCTAAGGTGAATGCTCAAACTGAACTGTATACCTGCATAGTGTACTGTATATACATGCTTATAGTCGATTTTATACTGCTTCTTTGAATGCGATTTTACATTGGTAATCTCTGGGACTCTAAGCACAGGGCTGTACTGATTATATTTACAATAGTATGTTAGTGTAGTTCCTTCGCCTTTGTTGTCATTAGTTTTGGGTTGTTTCTTTAAATAAGACATATCAATGCCTTTTTACACGCTTATGTTATGCTTTTACATAAGGTGTACCTGGAAGAAGCGGTGTTATTATTACGAGAAAGGAAAATTGTAACGTGTGTGTGCCTCTTTTAATAACTAGCCTCTGGTAATAACATACTAGCCTTTGGTAGTAACATACTTGCCTCTGGTAATAACATACTAGCCTCTGGTAATAACTATTAGCCTCTGGTAATAACTACTAGCCTCTGGTAATAACATACTAGCCTCTGGTAATAACTAAGAGCCTATGGTAATAACTACTAACGTCTCGTAATAAGTACTAGCCTTTAGTAATAACGCTTAGCGTCTGGTAATAAATATTAACCTCTGGTAATGACTACTAGCGTCTGGTAATAACTACTAATATAGCGTCTGGTAATAACTACTAGCGTTTGGTAAAAACTACTCGCATCTGGTAATAAATATTAGCCTTTGGTATTAACTATTAACCTCAGGTAATGTTATCCCAGGTGCTCATTAACTAGGTATTGTGTTACAGGTGAGGAAGACTCTGTTGGAGGAGCGAGCGAGGGTCCTGGGTGGGGGCTACGTGCCAGAGCGACCCTTGACTGCCATCGCTCGCCAGGGCTACCTCAAGGTGATCATCTATTGCCAGACACCCCTCCTCCTTCTCCACTTCCTTTTCCTCCCCTTCCTCGTTCTTACTCTTCTTCCTCCTCCTTCTCTTCCTGTCCTTTCTCTACTTTACTCGCTACCTCTTACTTTTCCTCTTATCCTTTACCACAGTGTTCCTTCTTCAGCATGTTCCAATAAAGGGACTGTCATAATCTTTTTATTTTTTTTAATTATTATTTTCCATATAAATCTCATTTATAATTTTATGCATCATTATAATTATTGTTGTTGCTGTTATTATTATCAATGTTATTATTATTAATAATATTATTATTTTATTGGTTTCAAAGCAGATGATTAAATAAAACCAAATTTAAAATTAATGAACTATAATAACCCCAAGATTGTTAGGTTGCGTTTCTTACCCATTTTATAATGTTTTCTTCATTTTAGTGTCGAAATTATTGTTTGTCTTTGTTTTTATGTTTTGTGCAGTGTGTGACAGGTTAAGGTGTAGTGTGTGGCAGGTTAAGGTGTAGTGTGTGCCAGATTAATGTACAGTGTGTGGCAGGTTAAGGTGTAGTGTGTGGCAGGTTAATGTACAGTGTGTGGCAGGTTAAGGTACAGTGTGTGGCAGGTTAAGGTGTAGTGTGTGGCAGGGTACAGGTTAAGGTGTAGTGTGTGCCAGGTTAATGTACAGTGTGTGGCAGGTTAAGCGTAGTGTGTGGCAGGTTAATGTACAGTGTGTGGCAGGTTAAGGTACAGTGTGTGGCAGGTTAAGGTGTAGTGTGTGGCAGGTTAATGTACAGTGTGTGGCAGGTTAAGGTGTAGTGTGTGCCAGGTTAATGTACAGTGTGTGGCAGGGGGTGTAGTGTGTGCCAGGTTAATGTACAGTGTGTGGCAGGTTAAGGTGTAGTGTGTGGCAGGTGTAAGGTTGTACAGTGTGTGGCAGGTTAAGGTGTAGTGTGTGGCAGGTTAAGGTACAGTGTGTGGCAGGTTAAGGTGTAGTGTGTGGCAGGTTAATGTACAGTGTGTGGCAGGTTAAGGTGTAGTGTGTGGCAGGTTAATGTACAGTGTGTGGCAGGTTAAGGTACAGTGTGTGGCAGGTTAAGGTGTAGTGTGTGGCAGGTTAAGGTACAGTGTGTGGCAGGTTAAGGTACAGTGTGTGGCAGGTTAAGGTACAGTGTGTGGCAGGTTAAGGTGCAGTGTGAGTCAGGTTAAGGTGCAGTGTGAGTCAGGTTAAGGTACAGTGTGAGTCAGGTTAAGGTGCAGTGTGAGTCAGGTTAAGGTACAGTGTGAGTCAGGTTAAGGTGCAGTGTGAGTCAGGTTAAACAGTACTAACTTGTTGTCCCCTTACAGACTGAGCGTCGAGGGAAACCCCAGAAGATGGTCACCGACGACCTCGCCTCTCTTGAGTTCTTCAACGATGAGGTAAGTCGTCCTCCTCCTCCCTCTACACATTCCTCTAACTCAGACCTTACACTCATTATCTTACTTATATCTCCTCACACCCGTCATCTTACAAAGGCATCCTTACACCCCATCATCTTAAACATTACTTCCTCATACTCATACTCACCTTAATCATTACTTCCTCATACCCATACTCACCTTAATCATTACTTCCTCATACTTATCTTACTCACACCTCCTCATACTCATCTACTTATAAATCCTCACACTCAGCTCGTTGTCATTTATAACCTTGTCTATGGTATATAATTTGTTTGTACTTTGTCTAACTTTGGGTGTTTACTCTGGCCAGTTGGTGGTGGAGACGCTTTACTCGAGGTGGACAAAAGGCAAGATCTATACGTGGGTGGCTGATGTGCTCTTGGCCGTCAATCCCTTCTCTGAAAAGTGCAAGTACGACGAAGAGGTAAGTCTGGAGGAGGAGGGGGGGGGTGATTGTGGGGAAGAGGGGGTGGTGGGAACTAGAGTGGTTGTGGGGAAGGTGGATGAGAGGTTTGGGGTGATGAGGAAGTTTGGGGTAGTGGTGGAGAGGATTAATGTTATGTGGAGTAAAGTGATGTTGGGGGGGGGGAGGATTAGTGTGTTGATGGTGGTGAGGATTAGATTGGTTAGGAGTAATGATGGCTAGGAGGGTTAGCATAGGGAGGAGGATGAGGGATGATGTAGCCTCTTCCTTTGTCTTACCCTCCACCTTCTCCCTCCCACATTGTCTGCTACATTTTCCTTCTCTCTCTTTAATTTCTTCTAACATTCTTTTTCATAATCTCCTCCTCCTCTTCTTGCATCCTCGTACCGTTAACACCAACGACTCAATACCTGTCACTCACCACTTCTTCGTTTCCGCAGGTTCAGGTGAAGTACAAGTCCAAGTCCCGGAGTCAGAACGACCCTCACATATTCGCCCTGGCTGACAGGGCCCACCAGGACATGATGCATCACAAGGAACACCAGACTATCGTCCTCACCGGAGAGTCCGGCAGCGGCAAGACATACAACTTCCATCAACTCATCAATCAACTCTGTTACATTGGTTGTGTAAGTTAAAGATGGATGCCCCTTACTCCCTTACATTGGTCAATGATGATGATAGACACTCCTTCCCGGGTCTTTTTGTTTAAGATTAAGCTATCTGGAGGAACTGTGCTTAAATGTTACAACCTTCATAGCTCAGTGGCTAGAACGCTGGTCTAGTTAACCAGAGGCCAGGTGTTCGATCCTCCCTGAAGGTACAGTGGAAATAACATAATTTTAGAGGTGCAGTGGCGAAGTTGATATAGCACTTGCCTCATAATCCAACGGTTGCCATTAATGAGCATGTTAGTCAGCTCTAGGAGCGACCACCAAGGGTCTTAAAGCACCCAAGTCAAGCCTGACGCCTCCCCCCCCCCCAAAAAAAAAATATATATATTATAAAAAAGATGTCAAAGAGTGTGTATTAACGGGCTTAACTCACCATGTACTCCAGTCATAATTCACTGGCTGAGTGCAAAAAGGGCCAATGTCAAAAAATGTCTGGGTTTTATGGGCCAAAGTCTATATTGACATTTTATGACATTGGCCCTTTTTGCACTCAACCAGAGAATTGGCATTCCACAGGGAATTGTCCTGGTCCCCTTTCTGCTTACTTTATTTATTAATGACTTGCCCAAGATCGTAGATTCAGAAGTTTACATTTTTCTTGATGATACTAATTAAATAGGAAAATCAAAGATGAAGAAGGTTCTGTAACCTATAATGTAGAGAGACTTAGATAAGCTGAAAGAATAAGCAAAGAAATGGATATTATGATGCCATCCCGATAAATATAAATTTATGGTTGTGTTGATCCGGCAGAGTAACCCGGGTCTCATCGACAAGATCAAGAAGGTGTGCATCGTACTGGACGCATTTGGTAATGCCGTCACCCAGCTCAACCCAGACTCCACCCGCCACACCCGATACTTCGACCTCACCTTCTCCAAGACAGGCAAAGTCTCTGGTGCCATCGTCTGGCTCCTCATGCTCGACAAGTTTCGCGTCACCGAGAGGCCCAGGTGGGTGACAAGGGAGTTATGGGGTCTGGTGTGAGGCTCATTTAGGGGTCATGTATGGGCTGTAAGGTCATGTATGGGCTGTAGGGTCATGTATGGGCTGTAGGGTCATGTATGGGCTGTAGGGTCATGTATGGGCTGTAGGGTCATGTATGGGCTGTAGGGTCATGTATGGGCTGTAGGGTGTATGTATGGGCTGTAGGGTCATGTATGGGCTGGGTCATGTAAGGGTCATGTATGGGCTGTAGGGTCATGTATGGGCTGTAAGGTCATGTATGGGCTGTAGGGTCATGTATGGGCTGTAGGGTCATGTATGGGCTGTAGGGTCATGTATGGGCTGTAGGGTCATGTAGCGTGAGTGTAAAATGTTTTGTTCGGGTTGAGATCATGTGGGCCTTTGTATGTTTCAGTAAGCACAAGGGCATCAGAGTCAATTTAGATGTGTAGGGTTATAGTTAATGCATTCAAGGTTATTTAAGTGCTGGCAAATGGTAGCAGCGTTATTTTCTGCAAAAGTTAAAATATTTTAACTATTGTTGGTATGGGTTATTAACATGGTGGTGTAATAGGAGGGATGATTAACTATTCCTTCCTACTGAAATTTATTGTAGTGTAGGAGAGCGTCTGTTAATGAGCTTCCAAGTCGTCTCCTTTTTCATCTCACGCTATCTACCCTCTTCTTTTTTCTCTTCTATTTATTCCTTCTCACTTTTCTCTTTCCTCCCCCCTCAAGTTTTGTCTTCCCATCCTGGTATCGCTATTAGATTACCTTCCTGGTGTCTTGTCTACCATGACACTAATTCAGGCTAGGCATTTTATTTGATATGTTTTTAATAATGGAATGTATTGTTTATTGGCCTTTACAGTTTGAAAGAAAGAATTTTATCTTTTAAGTGCAAGTGAACTCGTATGTTTCTGAATCTTTAAAATTCATGAGTTATGGTTTTGTGGTGAGGCAGTGGTTTAATAGGCCCCAGTCATGATAAACCACAAAAAAAATAAACTAATAGGGCCCAGTGCAAATTGACTCTAGTCTTACCAACCCATTAGGATTAGGGCCCAATAGGCCCCCAATCCTAGTAGTGAGATTGGGTTAGGCTAGAGTCCTTAGGGACTGTGCTCATATGGATTGCATCCACGGTGCTGATGGTTATTGTGATAACCAACAGGTCCGAGGGCAACTTTCACATGTTCTACTATTTGTACGATGGCCTCTCCCAGAGCTCCCGGCTAGCCCGCTATGGCCTCAAGCTGGGCAGGAAATACTATTACTTGGGCAAACACCCCTACGACAACGAGGTCACCAATGCTCAGAGGTTCACCAAGGTCGAGGAGGCCCTTCAGGTGGGTGTTGGAAGGCCCTTCAGGTGAGATTTACAAAGTAAAACTAATATGCACAAATGGTAATATTTACCAAATCCTTTGAAATATACAGCACATTCAAATTTTCTTCAAGCCTTTCCTCGCTTAGGACTTAGCAGCCAGAATTAACAGCAAATACACACACAGTCCTCCTTCATTCGTTGTCTTTCACTTATTTTATTATTGCAATAGATGTGTTATAGTACAGTACTCATCTCACAAAACAATGCACCAGTTATATATCTGGTTTACCTCTTTTGCAGACGATTGGTTTCACGGAACGGGAGATACACACCATCTACCTGGTGTTAGCTGCCATCCTTAACCTGGGTAACATTGACTTCACGGGAGACAAAGAAGCGTCCATTGTGGACATGGAGCCTGTCAAGGAAGGTAGGTGCTGTTCAGTGCGAATATAGGTATTTTCGAAGTTTTAGAATGTACTGTTTATCACAAATAGACAAAATAGGCAAAATCCGATACAAAAATTGAGTTCAGTGACTAAGAAGACCCTAGTTTCTTCATAAACTTCAAAATATGTCTGATGATTTCAACCTTGGAAAGTATAGCACTCGCTAGAGTACAGAAAGGTGAACATATTCATTATGTTAATACAAAAAATTAAGCTCATCTGCCAATGAAACATCAACAAATATTACAAATACTATATATGATGTAATTCTACAATCTAATATAAAGGAACACAATTTGAACACCCATTATTACCACACATGCATATCTACCCCACTGGTGCCATACGCACATATCTCCCTTAACACAAACTGATGCCATATAAGTACAGCAAATTTCCCTTAAGACTTACTAGTGCCACACATACATATGTTTTACCCCTCACACATAAACCATACAGTGTGTCGGCTGCTGGACGTGGAGGAGAAGAAGCTGTGCTGGGCGCTGTGTAACTTCTGCCGGGTAAAGGACGACCAAACGGTAGAGTCTGCCAAGAGGTCGCAGGATGAGGCTGAACTAAGCAAAGATGCTTTGGCCAGGACCCTCTACTCCCGCATCATGGACTTCATCGTCAACTTGATCAACACAAAGCTCTCCGTCACCAGGCTCGTCTTGTGAGTCACTCACCACACATTTTATACCATGATAGTACAAATATTGGATGACACTCTATCACCTTTTGTTTTTAATGTAAAGTTCGTCAGGATTTTCTGTCGAAAATTGGTCACCCCGCTTGTCTTATAACACCACCACTGAAATTTTATGCAATGAAACATGAACATTTAATTTACACAAAATGCTACTAAGGTTTATACTTTTTTGTCTTTTTAACTGGACTTTTTATAACGTACTCTTTTACGTCACAGTCATTGGAGTCAGAAGGGTAATTTCATGACCCAGGCTGTCTGAAGCCATTTACTGTGTCAATTGTTTCTATGTTATTTATTTTTGTCTTCATAATTTCTTCTAAACAAAGACAAATAACCCCAAACCTACATGTTTTAGGAATCTCCATAACCATTAGATGTGCTGTACATAATTTATATATTTCTATTTTTGGTATCCATTACTTAACGTTTAACTATTTTGTCTGCTTCACTTCTCTTAAATGAATATAGGTTAACTGGAGAACTATATATATTTAATCCCCGTGATCCTTAGATGTTCCTCTCAAAAATGATAGGAGTTGGGGTCCCTCTGATTTACATAGGCCTATTCCTTAATCCTCAACAACAGAGAAGTAATCCAGGTTTTTTGAAGGCCTGATTTTTCTACAGTACTACCTGCAGTTTAAGTGTTAATGATACATTACTGCTCACCATGCTACTTCCCTCTAAAAAAAATATGGGGTAAGACAAACCTTAACTTAACTTAACCTGACCTGACTTAACATAACTTCACCGACTGCCCAACCAACAAATTTAGTCATCTTGTGGGAAGGTGGCGGCAATGCCTCACAGAGCAAAGTTTTTTTGTGGTAAGATTTCCATCTCCCATTTAATCAATTTTCTCTTAGTAAAAATAAAACCTCAGGCTGTGAACACCTTATAATATGTCTTCTCTCCCTCTCCATCCTCCAGCGGTGACCCCTTTGCTATAGGAATACTGGACATGTTTGGTTTCGAGGCAAATGACCACAACACCTTGGAGAATCTGCTTGTGAATGTAGCCAACGAGCAGGTTCAGTACTTCTACAATCAGTACGTCTTCAGCTGGGAAATGGTGAGTTAAGATGCATGGTACTGCTCTCGCCCACCTTCACTTCCCCAAGATGTAAACTTGGGTACCTATTTACATATTGTGCGTATGTTTAGATCTGATGGTGTTGTGTATCCTACAGCAAGACTACTCAGACGAGGGCATCCCTGTGAAGAACTTCACATTCCCCGACAACCGACACATACTGGAACTGTTCCTTGCCAAGAGCAGTGGCTTCTTCTCCATCTTGGAGGACGAGAGTCGCGAGAGTATTGGCAGTGATACCTCCCTGTCTTGTAAGTTAAAGAGGGAGCTCTAATAGTGTCTAAGGTGAAACTATTTTATTGCCGCAATCTAAAAAATACTCCCACTTCTTGGTGCTAAAAATCTACCCTCTTAGATTCTTTTCCTTTTTTCTGCTTCCTCTCTCTCTATCTCCACTATCTTCTTATTTCCCCTAAGGTTCCTATGGATGAACATTACAGGTTGGTGCCCATGCTTGGCTAGTAACAATCATTAATGTAGTTCATGACCCTTCCCTCTCTTAGAAAATCATAGGTAACTCGCATTTCAGGGTAATGACATAGTTTTGGGAGTACTTTTTGTTAATTATCATTTGATTTCCTTGGAATTTTTACTACAATTCTCAGGGTAATTCATAGAATACAAATTCAGTGGCAGAACATGAAATACAACCAATTTTTCTCGGAACCTGTAGTGTAATTTGACACGTCACCAAATTGAACAAACTGCTGTATTACAAATGTATGTCTGATATTAGCAGCAACGAACTACAGTATTAGAAAATATATGGAAATTAATGTTCATCAGTTTGCTAAGGAACCAAAAGTGCACAGATCACTTTAATTTAATTTTTTTTAAAGCAAATCCACAGTCGACTTTTCTTTGCTCCGCCACCAGAATTGTTCAGTGCATTAAACAAGCATTTTGATGAAAATACCGAACAGATCAAACCATTATTGACATGATTACCACAGACTACATCATATCCATTCTGTCTGGGTTGTAGGCCGAAAGATGTGTTTTGCTATGTTGTTTCCCCTCCTTGACACTGCCCCAAGATTTGTACCAGGTTTACTTCCATCACTTTAAGCAACCCAGCATCATCAGATGTATTGCTATCTATCACTCTATCTATCTGTCTGACTGTCTGTCTAATTTATATCCTTCCACCTCTCTCTTATATTATCTAGCCATCCATCCATCCATCGATCCATCTATGATCTCATTGCTTCTACATTTATGCGGGCTGGATCAAGGGATGCAGACACCAAGCTTCAACCTATTTTTAGAGTATGGACCTTTCTGCTGTGTCACATTCAATTGTTTTACAGACAAACTGAAGCAAGGGGTCAACCAGAAGCAGATGATACAGGTGTCGGAGTTCACGTACGCCATCTCACACTATGTCGGACGTGTCAAGTACGATCTCCATGGCTTTGTCTACAAAAACCGTGACCACATATCTGCTGGTGAGTCCAACTGGTTGTTGTGTGTTTACTCATGGTAACAATTAGCTAGTCACTTACATTTCACTCAATTACACATAGAACACAAGAGATAAAAGACATGCATTGATTATTTTACTGAAGGATATATATATATATATATATATATATATATATATATATATATATATATATATATATATATATATATATATATATATATATATATATATATATATATATATATATATATATATATATATATGAAGGGGCAAGTAAATATTCATCTCTTTCCTACAGAATTGGTTCAGACGATGCGCAAGTCAGCCAACGACCACATCCGTGGTATGTTCTGCAACAAGTTAACTAAAACTGGCAACGTGACGGCGGAGACGGAGGAGCATCAACAGAAGAAGATGAAGGACAAAGGAGGAGCAGGCAAAACCGGCAGGAAGGATTCCAGAGTGAGTAGTAGAGCTTAAGGTGACCAGTGTAGAAATCATGACAGGATTATCATAGATTAAATATACACTGATCAAACACATGGCAGAATAGATAAATCGCTTGAAATTTGTATTGATAATGAGTATCTTATTAATTATCATAAAAACACATACCAGAATGACTTGCTGAGTTTCAGGTATTCACTATAGAAATCATGACATGGTTACTGTAGATTAGATATAGAATGGTCAAAGACAAGTGATCAGTAGTAGTACTCTTTCTGACTAGTACAGTATTCGTTTCCATCCTACAGCCAGGGTAGTCTTTAGTCCCTCTTACTCTTGGTACCAACCTGGTTTCAGCGCTCAATAGGTGCCGCCGCCAGTGACTGTAATCATGTTTTAAATCTGCATGATCCAAATCTGAAAATTACCAAAGTATAATGTATAAAAGAGTACAATACATAGAAGGGATTAATACTCCTCTAATATTTAGTAAGACTTGAACATAAGTAGAATGTAAAATATTGTGAATACTTTGCTACAACAGAAAAGTGAAAACCTCGAGTTTTCAGAAAGAATCAAGTGTGGTATAACTTTATAAATTTGTTAAAGTTATAGCTAATTATTTATTTTCTGTGAATATTCTGGAGTTCGTTCTCTTACTTTAAGACAGGGGTAACAATGCCAAGTTTGATCACGTTTATTCTTACTGGTCATTACAAACCAGATCTGTGAAGCCCTTGGTGTTATCACATACAGTACTGAAATGGGGCAAATTTAAGTTCAAGCACTTTTTTATTAACTTACAACAAAGAAATACATACTAAACTTCTCTCATTATTTTTCATTTCATTATTTTCATTACTTAAATTTACTACTGTGAAGTGACAAGTAGGCCGTGGTCTTCATGCCTTCGGTGACCTGACTAAAAATCACTCGACAATGTTTGATTTGAGCGAGTCCGAGCAACTGAACAATATAAAGTGCTGGTGGTACAGCGGTAATGCGCATAACTCTCACTAATATGTCAAGGGTTCGAGCCTCGGCCCGGACACACGTGAGAAGGGTGATATCCAGTGTGGCCCTACCAAACACCACAGGTTTCCCAGTCCCCGGTTTCCTCCTGTACTAACACTGGATACACCGCCCAAACGGTTCGTAAGCTGATAAGTGGCGAATATATTAAAAAAAAGAATGACAGAACTCATTGGTTCATTCCTGCTGTTTTTGTCAGCTTGCTAAAGGCACGAAGATTACAGGATTTGCAGACTACTGTACAGTACTTGGCAAAAAGCACAACCTGGAATGAAGAAAAAAAATCATCAGTAAATTTGTTATCTTTTTACACATTTGCTCAAATAGGTCTTAATCACTTGAGCTGTCAATTTTGAATTATTTTGCAGAGGTTCAACACTAAGTCGAAGGGTCGCATGTCTCAAACGCGCCACGTACAGACACTGGGCATGAACTTCCGGTATTCGCTGATTGAGTTGCTCTACAAACTAACCAATTCTCAGCCACACTTCCTCCGCTGCATCCGCTCCAATATGGATAACTCCAGCTCCGTCTTCGACCGTGACATGATCAAGCACCAGGTTAAATACCATGCCATCTGCGACACCATCAGGATTCGCCAGCAAGGATTCTCTCACAGGATCCCTTATCAGGAGTTCCTTCGAAGGTTAGTTGACATATATCATTTAAGTTCTTCTTTTAAGCAGAATCAAAATTATAATACAAATGATATGATGCTTTCTTATTTACAAATGTGTATGGCCAGAATTAGTAAAAATTGTAATAAAGAATTTTTTCACTGCTTGTGAAGATATCAATTCCTGGCATTTGACTTCGATGAGATAGTAGAGGTGACAAAGGACAACGCGAGGCTGCTGCTGCTACGACTCAAGATGGAGGGCTGGGCCATCGGCAAGGACAAGGTCTTCATTAAATACTATAATGAGGAATTCCTCTCCAGGTACTCCACAACCTTTCTCTCACTCAACCTCCATAATGTGTTTGTTTTTTACCAGTAAGTTTAATCTTTAAATGATGTACACTCAGAATACTGTACTTGTATACCTTTGCGTATTTGTCATATCCCCTTACTTATTTGATTATTTAATAAGGTTTGTTGAAAGAAAGAAGGTATAGAAAGTGCAAGTACTGTATAGTCCTGTATTTCATGAAAATGGTTTGTGCAGGACATAAGTAAGAATGACAGGAAAAGGAGATATTGATAGAAAAAGGATAAAGAAATTAGGTTAGGGAAACCTGATATGATCCAGCCAGGGTAGAGAGCGAAGAAGAAGGTGGAAAGGAAGGGAACACTGATATTGTCACGAATTAGAATTTGCTTCCTAGCAACAGTACAGTGCGGGCCTTTTTTTATTTTTGTTGGACGAATCACCCTTGCGGATCGGGTCGGGTCGGGTCGGGTCGGGTCGCGTCTCGTCTCGTCTCTATAACAAAGCGTGTTTGGCACTCGGGCCTTCGTCGTTGAGTGGCAGAAATTGGACAGTGATTACATAAGATCATCAAGATCGTCTTAGTAATGTGAAAGTGTAACTCGATGTAGGATTTTTAATGCTAGACGCGATTGTATATTTGAAAACTCAATCTCCACCGGTTTGGAGGTACAGCCCAGGTCAGGAGGCCTACAACCACAAAATCATTGCCATATGACAAAACTTTATTTTATTTTCTTATTTTTTACTGACTTGTGGTCACGGCTTGATTGACCACCCAAAGGCCAACCAGGGAGTGTAGTACTGTGCCTTTAGTTAAATCGGTTCATAGTGTAATCAGTGACCACGGAAGAGGTTGTAAATAACTAAAAGTGAATACAAATTGGCAAGCAGGCTGGTAAGGCACCACTGTCAGCAGAAACCAAGTCGTATTATTGTTCTCACAGAGACTTTTATTTAAATTTTGTTTGTGTTCTCTCTCAAGGACTGAAACTGTGCCTACAATCCACCATTCATAGGGAGATACGTAAAATGTACACAGTGATAGCACAAAGAGATATATTCGTTGATGAGAACTGGAAAAGAAAGGATAAGGAAAGAATAGTTAAAAAAAAATCAACAAGCTTGGCTGTCCTGAAAGACATTCTATTACCGCCCCAAAGAAAGTATTTTTTTTCTTCTGTGTTTCTAAAGGACTGAGTGGGTGTATATCATCCGTTATTCATAGCAAAATACAGTGTACATAGAGATACCACATAAATACCGACAAATCGCCGAGGTGAACTGAAAACAGAAGAAGAAAAACAGAAGACAACTCTAAAGGCAACACAGGACACAGTGTACCCAGGAGGCTAGAACACCAACAGGAGGCAGCTAGGTTTTATTTGTTTATTTTTTCTCTTTCTTATAAAATAACACTGAATTGCCATAAGGGGCCGATCACCTCCATATCTCACTTTACTTAGACATCAATTAGTAGATGTGATAATTAAGGAAGTCATCCCACTGGGAGGTATATCTCTTGCTCAGATGAATTAAATTATGCTAGCCCCGTGGATGACACTAGCCATAACGGCCTATACCCAGGCAGCGGAAGGGGGCTTTTAAAGGGACCTTGACGCTAAGGCCTTGCTGCCAGGACACATTAAAAGTCAAAATTAAAAACGCGAGTAGGAGTATCAGACCTGAGGCTTGAAGATGGCAGTTATGTAGATTCTGACCAGGATAAAGCTGTGGCATTGAACAGCTTCTTTTCCTCAGTGTTCACAAGAGAGGATGCAATTAACCTTCCTGCGTTTGAGGACAGACGGTTCGACACAGCACTGACCCACATTGTGTTCACAGAAGAGGGTATAAGAAATAAACTGTCAAAGCTAAAGGTCCATAAGAGTCCTGGCCCTGACATGGTGCATCCTACAGTGCTAAGAGAGTTGTACAACGAGCTTGCCGAGCCCCTGAAGATCCTGTTCTGTAAATGCCTGGATGAACAAAAGGTCCCCAGTGATTGGAAAATGGCTTATGTGAGTCCTATCTTTAAGAAGGACTATCGTCACTCCACGAACAACTATAGACAGGTGAGCCTAACCAGCAGAGTATTATCAGAGATGCCGCGATGGAACATTTACTTCGAAACAACCTTGAAAAGGATTGCCACCACGGTTTTATGCCGGAGCGCTCCTGCTTAACACAATTGCTCAAGGTATTTGATATTTGGACCCATATTCTGGAACGGGGTGGTAATATCGACAATATATACCAAGATTTTGCCAAGGCTTTCGACAGTTTACCCCATGAATGGCTGAAAATCAAGCTGAAAGGGTACGGAATTCGGGGAAATGTCCTAGCGTGGATAGAAGACTTTCTACATGACCACAAGCAGTATATGGTGATTAATGGCACGAAATCACTCATCTGTACCTGTCACAAGCGGGGTACCACAGGTCAGTGTATTGGGCCCGCTGTTGTTTGTTTGTTTCATAAATGACATGCCTGACGCTGTACACTCCTCCATACAAATGTTTGCAGATGACCTCCAAGCTATTTCGGGAAATCAAGAACCAAGAGGACTGTGAAGAGCTGCAGAAGGAGCTCTGTGAGCTCCAAGAATGGTCGAAGAAATGGCTTCTGAGATTCAATGTCACGAAGTGTAAGAGGATGCACCTGGGGCGTACCAACGGTAAGGAGGCGTATCATATGTCCCATCGGGATGAAGAAACTGCACTATTTAAGACTGAACGTGAGACGGACCTAGGTGTGTGTGTTGACAATGAGTTGAAGTTCTCGGGCCATTGCGAGAAGAAGGTAAATCAGGCAAATAAATTATTAGGTCTTATAAGAAGGTCGTTCAGATATCTAGACGGTCCGTCCCTCGTAACTATCTTCAGGAGTGAAGTGCTTCCCCATCTGGAGTACTGTCACCCCGTCTGGTCCCCGAGATATGCTAGGGACTGTCGGTTGGTTGAAAATGTTCAAAGGAGGGCCACCAGACTGGTGCCTGCACTTTGGCACCTCAACTACCCTGAGAGATTGGAGCGCCTGCAGTTGCCTAGCTTATACTACAGACGGGCAAGAGGCGACCTAATTGAGGTGTATATCTCAAGGGGCAATACTCAGTCGAGTGTCCTTACCTGGAACTGGCGGACTCTCGCCCCACAAGGAGTCACAGCTCAAGATTGAAGAAGCCGCAAGTCCAGAAAACTGTGAAGGCAAACTTTTTCGGAGTGAGAGTTGTGATCTCTTGGAACAATCTGCCAGAAAGTGTTGTGACGGCACCGAGTGTGAGCTCTTTCAACAGCAGACTTGACCAATACTGGAGCAGGTTTAGATACGTTCAGGAGCCGGTGCATGTCCAGTACTTGCCAACAGTGCGTAACAGAGACGTGACCGATAGCCCAAGCGGCTAACGAGCCGATCAGTGGTGAAGAGAGTAAAAGTAAAAAGCAGTGTATTTGTCCAAGGTAGACGATCAAACACTACCTGCATGCCTAAAGTTTGTTCAGTCCTCTGTTGTGTTTAGAATTCAGAAAGTTTTTTGTGTATCTATTTGGAAATTAAAGTCTAATGATAGACAAATTATCCATGTGTGTGTATATTGGTAATACATTAGTATATTTTATAGTACCTGTACATAGCTGGGAAGTAAAAAACCATGAGCCATTTGTGTTTGTTGATGAATGATTACTGTGGCACCTGCCAGGTTGTACGAGTCGAGTGTAAAGAAGATCGTAAAGATTCAGGCCATGATGAGAGCCTACATGCAGAGGAAGAAGAAGAAAGCTGGCCAGCTCAAACCTACAGAGAGTAAGTCAGGTCCCTTCAACTGGTTTGTCTTTAATTTAAATGTGCATCAGTTTTTTCTTTAATATTTTTTTACATATGCAATACAGTACTGGATGGCTAAACTTAAACGTTTAATGTACAATATTTTCATGACTGTTTCTCATATACAGTACACTTGACTCTTAATTTGTAAAGATCATTTGTTCCAACTTATGCTAAACAAACAGCTAGACCTACATGAATGACTTTCTTGTTTTTCAGTTATTTTTTTTTCTTTTATTAGTAATTATCTTAATGTATCAACAGTAAGTGAAAGGTTATCAAAGTAATCAGGAGAGAGTGATTAAAAATATGATTAGTGATTGGAACTTGGATGTCGTTGTTAAACATAAAATATAACTGAAGAATAAAGTAGAGGTGAGTTGGAAAGAAGTGAAGGAAGTGACAGGGAGATGAAAAGTGAAAAGAGTGATGATGTTGTTCAGTATATGTACACCAGGGAATGAGAAGAGTGAGGAGGGACAATAACTGTTCTGGGAAGACCTGACTAAATGAAATGGAAGCTTTAGTGCGAGTGATGGTTTTTACCGAGGGAGGATTTAAAAGTAAATGGTAATGACGGGAAAATGAAAGGGATTTTGAATACCAGGATTGAATGGATATGTAGAGGTATTAATAGGAGTCTGTGTTGAAATAGTGATAAGAGTGGTAAATACTGTACTTGGTTAGATAATGAGATTCATAAATATATACAGGATAATGGAAAAGATAGAGGATTGTTAGAAATGTTTTGGTGGATAAAAGAATGAGATGTTGATTGATATAAATGGAGTGTCTGTCTGTAGGAGCGTGAGTGATGGCAAAGGGGAGGATAAGAGTGAAGTGAAGGGTAAACCAGAGTCGGGCTCTCGTGGAAGGGGACCGGCAGCAGTCTGAATGATGAATGGCAGTGAATGAAGGAAGTATGTGTGTTATTTGCTCTTGTTTCCCCTCACCCTATATTTAACAGGAAACTTGAAGACGTAAGAGAATATAATATTGTTTCACTGACTCCATACTTAGTGCATTTATCATTTTTTTTATTTTTCATTTATATGTATAATTAAATGGGTCTCCATAAAATGATTAATAAATTTACATATAAATTATACATTATTGGGTAACCGATTTTTTTACTAAGAAATTACAGATCTAGGTCTGGCTCTCAATACATTTCTACTTGAGAGCCAAATACCTGGATCTAGTAGAAATCAATTAAAAGCCAGAATTAGATCGGTGTATCCAAAGCTTATTTATTTTATATTTACTGTATTTTGTTATATTACAAGTGAAATGTGTTACTAAAATATGTGGGTGAGTCGTAGGTTGTGGTACACTTATGGTTATTGTGACCGTGTGTCAGCTTTACTGTTTACTTCCATGTACAGGTATGTATTGGTGTATGTTGGTAGTATAGTGTAGTGATCTTACACACACACACACACCTATGATTAGGTGGGGTTGGGATCTCTAAGGACTTGAGCCATTTTGATTTAAAAGTAATTCACCTTAAATATCAACTGCAACTAGTAAGTAATTTACACATTGTGACGGTGATAACAACATGGACCGTGAGAATGACGACCACGACAGAACCTGGTGAAAACAACAAGAAAACGTTGATGTTCACATGACAAAAAATATGATAGAGATAACAACGAGACGTAATTGACGTACTCACAACAGAGAATGGTAATAGTAAGAATAACGTTAGAAACACACATTAGCAGTAATAAAGAAAACACTACGACACATAATATTAACAGTAATGGACGTAATGGCTAGTAAGGAGAACTATCATTAGACAGTAATGAATGTAATAGTAAACATTGGGAACCATTGTTACTATTAACAGCAGCAGCTTGATGAGGTGTAGATATCTGTAGGTGTAGTAAGTCAGTGTGTTCAGTCATAGAGCACAGTACTGTACGTAGTTCGAGTACTACAAAAAGTTCCGCACGCGTACTTATTGTTGCCTCAGTACGAGTGTTGTAACCCCTTTTTGATTATGTCTTTAACAATGTGGTGAAAAGAATTAACCCTCATGGTTAACAGACATTTAAACAACTGTACAGGTATATGATTTATGAACTGTATACAGTATTTTGGTATAACACTTAACATCTTGTTGTGGCAGTCAGCCTATATCCCTCACCAAATTATTTGAGGACATTGCAAGTTTCATGGCACAGTCAATTTTTAGTCAAAATATGGAATTTTAACACTGGCACTGAGGCAACGATTTACAAATTGTTTATGTTGCACACATGTACACAGTACACACCCCGACATGTGGACGTGTGATGACACCTCTGTAATTCGGTCCTGCACCATGGCAAGATGTCAGAATTGGCTTCATTTTAAGTGTTTGTTTGCAAAGTGCCATATGGGATATATGAGCTCTCAGGTCACGTGCATTATAATCTATCGCCAGCGGTCATGTTTTGATTCTTCTCCCAACGGGGCACTTTGATCAAATACTTGGAAAAAAGAAGACTTAAAGACCCTTAGGCTGATCAGGACAAACAAGCCAGGAGGACAAAGAAGCAGAGGCTTTATCTTTAAAGTATTGAAGGAAGTATTTAGAGAGAAGAGGTTTCAAGTGAACTGGATTCAGGAATTTAAGTGACAACAAAGAATATCGGACGAGGCATCGGTGCACACTGAATGAAAAAGCTGCTGGCAGTCCTAAAAAGGAAAATGGATTTCTAGTGATCGGCCAGTCATTACTGATCAGCTCAATTAAGACACATGAAGATTGGTGATAATGTTCTTATGGTGCAAACTGTAGCCCAAGAGAGAGAGTTGGGGCCTTCTACCAAAATGTGTTGCAAAGAATTCCTCACCAGTTCTAGAGGTACCTATGTTTACTGAGGGGAAAAATTACTTTGGGCTCGTGGAGTTCTATATTCAAGTCTAAGAAAATATTTGTCAGCAAGATCCCCAGAAATATTTGCAGGAGGGTTATGCACAACTTATCCTGACACTTCAAGAGATCAAATTGTACCCTCAAAATATATATTATTGTACCCGTAATATTAACCTAGAAAGAGCCCGTATAGCCCAGTAACAAACAGTAGTGGGAGACTTGTAAGTACCAGACTAGGTGTAGTAAGTACTAAGGTCAGTAGAGTATCAAGTGGCCTCCTTATAGATACTGTCACTCATAATAATGAGAGAAGCCACCTGAAGGCCACCAGTCTGTCTCACCTCCTGCATCTCCAGTATTTATAAAGAAAATTCCCCAGACTATTTTAGATTAGATGCTCTTAGTTTGTGTAGTAAGAGTACTCTACGCGTGATTTAAAGAGTTTATGGAAATTTGTGGCATGTTCTTTGCAGGTGTTCTTCATCCATAATATCAAATTTGTTCATTAAATTTCTTTATTAAGAATTGCATTAGAAAAGCTAAAATCCTATCATCAATAACTTGAAGATGCCATAAAGTAATAAAGACCTGACTACACAAACAGAATACTTAAACCCGATATATTTTTCAGTTATTACATTTGATGGTGACTGTATAATTGAGCATGGACAGTAAGAGGGAGAAGGGGGGACCAAGACGGTGGAAGGATGGGTTGAGGGACGCACTACAAGTGAGGTCGGTGGACATTCAGGAAGAATCAGTGCGAGTCAATAGTTCCCTTGATTTTTGTAGATGGACGTAATGTTGGCTTGTGTGAGGTGACAGGGATAGGGGTTTGTTGGGGAAGGGAAGGCCTAAAGCACAATAAATCTTTGACACAAGTGCTAATGAATGGAAGAGAAAAATATATTGTTCCAGTATATTTGCTATTTTCCGACCACCTTGCATTAAAGAAGTAGCAACGTGAGGCAGTCTTCACCAGTGCTACCTGTTTACAGTAACATCGCTACTGGTTCAATATTCACACAAACACAGTAATCCATTTGCGGGCAGGAATTGTTTATTGGTGATGCATGTTGTACACAGATATAAAGACACACTGCACTAAACCTTTCTTCACCCTAAAATGTATTATTGTATCATGATGTACTGTATAACGCCTGACAGACAAACAGACCAAAGCTTGAACATTCCATTTCTGCTACTATACAAAGTTTAAGCTTCGATTGTGTTATTACTCCACGCACACACACGCACGCACACACACACGCACGCACGCACGCACACACACAAGTCAAATTATAAAATATATTGCTTAACAAGTCGCTAAAGATTCCCTTTCATCGTAGTAATGGCTTTCAGTGTTTACATTTTTTATTCTGATAGAGCAGTGCCCAAAATAATTAAAATATACTGTACAATATAGTTGTTGCTCATGAATTTGCAATAGTCCTTTTTTATTCAGTTTCATTGTAAACTCTACATGTGATTTATTTTGTAGTTGATTGTAGGTTATGCATCTAAGTTACTGTGCCGAGTAGCAACCTTGTAAATAAGCTACTGTGCCGAGTAGCATTTATATATATAAATGCTACTCGGCACAGTAGCTTAGATGCATAACCTACATTGATATATGATATACTTGATATTTTCCATAGCTGAATCATAACCAACATGAATTATTCTATCGGTTTTTCAAAGGTTTAGATTTGAATTATTTTAAAGATATACAATGTGAGTGAATTATTTCATATTGATCGATAAATATAGTTTACAAATATGTGAATTATTCCATAACTGAAGGAGAAACCAAATGCACCTGAGAGGCTGCTGTGGGGCAGGATTGTACAAGTGTCTCGTGATATAGACAGTCCTGGTAACGATCAAATTCATTGTAACAAACAATGATTTTTCTTGGTGGAGTTTGATGATATTTTTCTTTTATTGTAAAACTGAAACACCTACCAGCCAGGTTTATTATATCTACAGAAGTCTTGACCATCAGTCACCTGGGTTTCAATATAGACCCACTACCAGTAGAAAGTTTTAATTATGAATACCCTCACATTCATAAAGATAAAGAGACATTTTTGTAGTTCTAGATTAGTGTTAAACACTTTGGAATTTTAGTAATGGAAATAGATGTTTATTGGCCGACTGTGTGTGTGTGTGTGTGTGTGTGTGTGTGTGTGTGTGTGTGTGTGTGTGTGTGTGTGTGTGTGGGTTGTTCTCAACACCATGTTCACCAGTCATCACACACTAATTTATTTTGTTTTTTATTTAGTCGCTATTGACGCTATTGTTATTGGCTGTGTCAATTCAGTTGACTGACAAATATTGTTGAAATATTTGTGCACAGTTGGATAAATAAATATATCAGTACGTATATAAATACTGTAGATAGGTAGATAGGGGATATAAATTATCTAATTAGATCATGCTGAAATTTTACGACATTGAATAAAAAAAACTTCTGGAGGCGTGGGAGTGATGTGTGTTTGTGTGTGTACGTGTAACTGTGTGTGCGAACGTTGTGTAATTTCACACGTTCAATAACCAGGTGATAAAGCCAGTTATCACCTGCATTGTGTAGGTCTCTCTCTCTCTCTCTCTCTCTCTCTCTCTCTCTCTCTCTCTCTCTCTCTCTCTCAGTAAGCGAGGTGTTTGGAGTATCAGAATCACACTGTTAACCCTTTATACACTATTAATGAAGCGATAGTGTAAATGATAATGTTAACATATTACAACAGTCCATATGTGGTAGGTCAACTTGGTCATCTATTCCCTTAGAGACAGATTATCGAGACACAATGATAATCATGTTTTGTTTTGTTTTTTATATAAGTGATTCAGTATCAAGGTCAATTTTTTGTTACAGTGATCTGGGAACTTAGTCATGTTGGGTCATGTAGTTAAATTTTTTGCTATTATGACAACCGAGATGCAATCAGAGAAACAGATTAACTTTGTCAAGGCCATCACGATCAGAGCCCCCATTTCAGCAGGGAATTATTGTGATGCTGTGTTCATATTTCACTGTGACGTAGCCGTGCAAGGATTCCATACGTTGATATAAATCTGTATTAAAACTACTGTATAATTATTAGCAGGGAGGAAGTTGAAACCCGCCTTGTGTGTCGCCTACCTCCTGCCAGGAAAGTCGACATGAATTTCAGTTATATCAGCAGTCATCTCACTCACCAGTTATATCAGCAGACATCTCACTCACCAGTTATATCAGCAGACATCTCACTCACCAGTTATATGAACTGTCATCTCACACACACTAGTTATATCAGCAGTCATCTCACTCACCAGTTATATCAGCAGTCATCTCACATACCATTTAGTTATATCTGTAGTCATCTCACTCACCAGTTATATCAACAGTCATCTCACATACCAGTTAGTTATATCAACAGTCATCTCACTCACCAGTTATATCAACAGTCATCTCACATACCAGTTAGTTATATCAACAGTCATCTCACTCACCAGTTATATCAACAGTCATCTCACTTGTTATAATTTGTTTAAAACGTGAAAAAAATGTAGTGTTAAGTACGTCAGCATACTGTATATGTAGAGTTTACAAAATGTGACTTGTAACATTATAGTTTCCCTCTGGCATTGTGTTGTGAAACATTTAACATAATCTAGTAAAAATGAACTGTTTTCATTCCTGCTCTAAATGTTACACATAACTATTTATACCTGTATAAACGTAGAGAAGCAACAAATTGTGTTGACAGTATATTATTTTTGTATTTCTCGGGACACCAACCAGCATCTATCTTGAAATATCATGAAGACAAATCACATGCGACCTATTTACAAAATAATTTGCGCCTCACGTTATATCGGATTTCACTTAGGTGAGGATGCCGGGTGATAATTTATTATACCGTGAGGGGCTTCCTTCATAGGGCTTCACTATGAGAGGGAGGCTGACAGCAGGCCATCATCAGTCGAGTTCCACACGGTGTGCATGACGACCCATGCCTTCCTGCACTGTGCCATACTGACTCACCCACCAACTACACATTCATCTCCAAGTTACCTTGTCTTCTGACTTGTTACGTGTGATAAAAGACGAGTTTTGTTTAACTACACATACACACGCACCTTAAGTGTGTGTGTGTGTGTTATTACCAGTTGTTACTTGTGACAAAAGACGAATTTGTGATTAGCGACAACATGGAGGACATAGACTCAGTAATGGAGGTTGATATGGAGGAGGTGGAAGACAGGGAGATGAAACATACTGCACCACACAGACCTGCTCCCCGCCTGGTCAGGACTAACACCCAGGAATCCCTCATCTCCTTGGACAAGAAGCATGAGACCACTGCTTCAAGCTCTGACAAAGAACAGATGTCTCTGGTAACAAAGATTAAGTCGGAGGATCATAAGGCTGAAGTACACCCAGCAAGCGAGAGGTCGGCAGTGATAAACTCCACAGTTAGCAAAAAGAGTGAGAGAGTCGACACTATTCCTTCTACATCTACAACATACAGTAATCTGAAGGCATCGGCCCAGTATAAGACCTCAGGGTATGGCTCTGAGGACCCACAGTATTCTTGTGTGTCAGGAGAATGCGTCCCTGACAACACGCTGGTACCATTCCAAGGTACAGGCTATGGCTATAACGATACGTCAATTCCCTTCAGAAGTAAATACTGTGACTGCAAGGCAAAGAGTGTAGATGACAAGGCAGACAGTAGTATCAGCAACACCTTCATGCTTCAGAGCGCCCTCAAAAACTTTGGTTTGTTGGCTGACGACCCTGATGCCAGCAAAGCTGACCTACAGACCACTCTTAAGGAAGTCCTTGACATGCAGCACAAAATTATCGCGCGTGTAGGACGGCTGGAGTGTAAAAATGGCATTGGTTAGTGTAACTATAAATAAGTTAAAGCAGCGCAACTCATCATACACTTAGTATTGATTAGAAAATTGTGCAGATGTCGCTGTAATGTAGTTTATATTTGTCAATATGCTCTTATTAATTATTTGTGGCTTCTAAATCTGTTGATATTATTATAGAGTAAGCATGCTATGTGGCCCAGACCTGATGCTTGCCTTGCGACGCTGTAACGTGACTTTTACTACGAGCCATCATCGAGATTCACAAGTGAGTGCTGGGCTTTGTGCGGCCGCTTTCTTGAGTAGCGCCATCAACACATAAAACTATAATCTGGCTTGATCTTACACGATTTCTAACTCGATCTTCCATTGCTTTTGTGCTAGAAACTAAGCCCAAGGGACCCATTAAGGAGATGACCCAGGAGGAAGCCGCCACAAAGATCCAAAGCAGTATGTTGTTCCTCTGTTCCCTAATTTGACATCAGACCAAGTTTACTATCTTTAATTTTTATTTGGCCACTTAATGAATATTGTTTTCATCATTCCATGATATTTTGTGTTATAAAATAATTTTTAAAGGCCATGACTATATTTTTGAAAAGATCTTTTGAATTTTCAATTTAATTTTTTTTGTGATATTTTCCTCACCTTCACCTTGGTTGGTAAAAAAACTCACTAGATGACTGTGACTCCCATGGTGGTAGTGTAGGCAGCTCTCCCGGGCATGGCTCTCACACAACCCAACCTGTGTCACATTTTCTCAATAAATAGAACTGTACTATATTTACTTCTATGGGTTACTTTTACAATGTTAATTTTCCACTTTTGATGAGCTCTTGGTCACAGATATTCAACATTGTTTATATTATATTTAACACGGGAGTAATACGGTATTCTAAATTACTTTTTATATTTTGAACATAATGGATGAGTAAAAATCTCCAAGTAATTTTTCTGTATTAGATTTATAGAAAAGTAATAATCTAGAAAATTTGTTGATATTTAACTAAATGAAAAAGTAGTATCTGGAGCACTCTTTAATGTTTAACGTTGGGAAGTCATTATTTTCCGTGCTTCTAACTTTTAAACCTATAGATCAGCTATATTTAGTACAACATCTTTAATCATTCTTAGTTGGGTGGGGAAATTTGCTCAGAACAGTTTAACATAACCAAGTGACCATCATCAGTCATCACTACAGTTTTGCTAATAACCAAGTCATTTTGCCTGAATGTACAGTAAATGTTACATGAGACAAGGGGAGTGTGAAGAGGACTCGTGTGTGTGTGTGTTTGTGGGAGACCTGCAGGAGAAGGAGCCAATTGTTTCAGTAGGATCTTACCCTCATTTTATTTTTTTAGTAGCATCTCACCCTCCTCCTCAGACTTCAGAGGGTATAAAGTCCGCCAGGAGAACCCAGAAATCGCCAATAAGATACGGGAGCGCCAGAAATTTGGTGAAAGTAAGTGAAAAAAGTAGTGATAGTAGAAGTAAGAGTGTAATTGGTACTCTGTCTTAATAGTCCCTACTTCTACCTAGCTCGGCCCCGTCGTAATGGCCCTCCCACTAAACCAACGTATTACGACGAGGGCCTAATTTAGCTTGCATCCAAAGTGTGGTAATGGCGATGTGTGGTGTAAAGTTGGGTCAGCCACACCACCTACTGATCACCAGTCACTCTTCATCTATCCCCCATCACCTATCACCAAGTATCTCTCACCTGTTACCTACCACTTACCATCTTTCACCTCTCACTTACAACCTGCCCCGCGGCTTATGTGAATTTTAATACTTGCTAATAAATATCCATAAACTTATCGTCTTCTGTCATCTATGATAATTGATCTTGTTGACTGGATTAATTGTCATTGTTAGTTATAATCTTATAGACTAAATTCTCGTGGTTTTGTTAAATATAATGCTGATAGTTTAAATGTATGTAAAATACTGTATGATTAATTACCTTGGCTGATGTAGCAATGAAAAGTTGATGTGTCTCATAAATTTACCGTTAATTAAAAATTGAGGACCAGAGTACATCTCTTTGCTTGCCGATCTAGACGTAGTTTTATGTGTACAGTATATGTGTGGGGTGATAGTCTAGTAGTGGTGGTTATTTACAGATAGTGGTGGTTGTGAGTCAGGTACATAGGTAGAGGTGGTTGTGACTCAGATATTACCAGATAGTGGTGGTTGTGAGTCAGGTACATAGGTAGAGGTGGTTGTGACTCAGATATTACCAGATAGTGGTGGTTGTGAGTCAGGTACATAGGTAGAGGTGGTTGTGACTCAGATATTACCAGATAGTGGTGGTTGTGAGCCACCTCCCTGGTAATGACGGTTGTGAATTAAATATCCCCAGATAGTGGCAGTTGTGAGTCGGGTATATAGGGTAGAGATGGTTGTGAGCCAATTCTCCCCTGGTAATGACGGTTGTGACTTAGATATCCTCAGATTGTGGGAGTTGTGATTCAAATATCCCCAGATAATAGTGGTTGTGAATAAAAAAAATCTCCAGATAATAGTGGTTGTGAGTTAAATATCCCCAGATAGTGGCAGTTGTGAGTCGGGTATATAGGGTAGAGGTGGTTGTGAGTCAAATATTCCTTGACATTGGTAGTTATGAGTCAAGTTTTGGTGGTTGTGAGTCATGACCCCGGTATTCTCAGGTACAGTACTCGCCTCCTTCACCCACCCTCAGAGACCTTAGAGGCAGAGGCGGCACGTTACGTCCAACACTACTTCAGGAGGTGGAAGATGAGGACCCTTTTTCAGCAGCTCCAGATCTACCGCGCAGACAAGACACAACATCTCGTCTACTTCTCCCAACAGGTGAGAAGACACTGTTAACTGTTTCACCAAGAGGATACAGTGCCATACCTGCCTGGGTACCATATATTACTTGTCTGTTTCACCAGGTAAGATCAAATATTACCTGTCTATTTAAGAACGTGTCAACATGCCTCAAAAGTATCCTATCCATATTGTCAATTTAATACTGAACAATTACAAAATAGTGAATTTACATAAACACCAGTTAATAAGTATAAAACATGTATGAATCTAATCCAGATTGGGAATTATGAAACTGCTCATTCATTAAGTAATGCGGTAATATACTTAAATAGATAATTAGAAATATGGGTGTAGTTCGGAATATGCTAAACGAAGCTAGATTGAACTAACGTCATGTGTACTGTAAGTAAGTGAAGCAAACTTAATTTACTCTACCATTTGTGTGTACCTGTATCTGGATAATGAAATCAAGTTATCACATTACCAACTTGAATTTATTCTTAGCATTTGTTTTGCAGGTTCACTTGTACGGGCAGGAGATGCAGGCGAGGCTGCAGCGGCTGAACCATCGGCTGGACCTGGGTAAGGTACGCAATGAGGCCCCAGGTGCTCACAAGACTATCCTGGTGAGGGAGAAGATTGCTCAGCCCAAGCTCGCCCTCGACCACATGCTCAATGCCTACTTTGACACCACCTTCCTCTGTGACCCCAGCAGGGCCAAGTTAGTACAGTACACTAAGTCTTTGTCTGGGCCAAGTTAGTACACGGCGACATATTATTTATTGGGCTTTAGACTGTTTAAAAGACTCTCACATCTTTTATTCTAAAGTGCTTTATCACTTTTATTATTTTCAAGTCATGCAAGAAAGAACATTGATTTGTACCTCTCCCTTCGTATGTCAGTTTTTCATTTCACCGAAGATTACACAATTTATTTAGCTTAGACCGATCGAGTTTTGTTTGATTTCATACATGCATAATTGAATAACATTATTTGATTTTAAAGTTGTTTTGTTTAATGTTTCCTCAGTTTATTTACTTTGACATTTTGATGAGTGGAAGCATACAGCATGTGTTCAACAAACACAACTCTCGACCCTCATTTATATTAATATGATTGGGTTTTTTTATTGCCTGGAGGAGGCTACTTGCAGCTACATTTGTTTCTTCCCTGACTGACAAAGTGATAAAGTTTTTATGAGGAAGGTTTCTCTTGAGAATGTTTTCTACTGGCATCTCCCTGCCAGCTTCCCCTTGCTGGTGTCCTCCAGACAACCTCAACACACCAGTGACCAGTTTACCTGTCAGTTTTGTTTCATTATTATTAAAGCTTCTGATTTGACAAGATGAATTAAATTTTTGCTAATTGATTTTGTTGTTGCAGGAAGGGGAGACAGCAAGATGACGACTGGGAGGCTCCCTTCAAGTCTCGTGCATCTGCTGCCCGCTCCGAAAACATGGGTCTAGAGGAAAAGTTGGGAAATAGTGGCCCCGGCAACAAAGAAATAGCAGACACACCCATGGATGTCCGCTCCAAGACCGCTTTGTTTGACCAGGGTCTGTTACCCCAGCAGAGTACAAGAGGGAGAGGGGGAAAGGTCTAGACATGTTATAGGCCAAATGGGTGCCATTTCTAATGGGTCACTCCCTAACATATCCATAATGATTGGACCCATCAGGATTGGTATCCATTAGGATTTGGTTGACATCCATTAGGAATGGAGCCTATTTGATCTGCAGGAGAATTAATCGAATTAGGGAAGAGTCTGGTTGGATAGCCAGTTTAAGTCACTGAAGGATTTGATGGGTGGGAGGGAAACACAGGAAGGAGCTAAATTTCTTTATTTCTCTAATGTTTCGGGTTACACAGGAAGAAGTCAGAGGCTTGTGTAAGCCAGGTGAACCTTGCCTCTCTAGATGCTCTGTCGTGTTGTAGCCTGATTGGCTGTCATTTACCGACCCCTCCCTGACTACTTTACTGCCTGGCGTCAATACTAGGTCCGCGGCATTCACTGACCAGTACATGAAACCCTCCATATGTTTTGTTACTTTATTTCTACAAATATATACTGCTACTAAGGCCTTTCTCATTCCCTTATCAGTGCTTATGCCATGGTTATGCTTATTAGGCTTCTGTCATAGTTATGCTTATTATGCCTATGCCATGATTATGCTTATTACACTTATGCCATGGTCATGCTTATTTATGGGGTGGGGGTAAATGACTGGTCATGCCAACACTATGGGGTAAATGACTGGTCATGCCAACACTATGGGGTAAATGACTGGTCATGCCAACACTATGGGGTAAATGACTGGTCATGCCAACACTATGGGGTAAATGACTGGTCATGCCAACACTATGGGGTAAATGACTGGTCATGCCAACACTATGGGGTAAATGAAAGAAAAAAGGCTAAAAATTCCTTCTGGCCATCCGCACCTCCCTACCAAATGTTAGAAGCCTATATTCAACACCGTGTGTATGTGTGTGTGTGTGTGAGGGAGAGTCTGTTTACAGTTATAAGTAATTTTATGTAACATGAGTATTTGTGTGTGTAACAGGTCAGAATGCCAACACATGCAGTGGTGTAGGTGGAGGATCATCGTCATACAACAGGTTTGCGGGCAGCAGCAGTAACAGGCCGGCTTCCAGCTACAATAAGTTTGCAGGATCGAGCTACGTCCCCCCTGCTCCCTCTTACAACAGCGGTAGCTATATCAAATCCCAAGCACCCAAGCCTTCCGTCGCCGTCAACTCCTGGAACGAGCGACAGCATAATGGTTACAGGTGAGATGCTTGTTATTATAATTTATTTTTATTTTACCTTAAGATACCTCAAAGTTTTGTGTGGCATGAATCAATAGGTAGAACATCTTATAGAAGAGAGGATATAACAGGAAAGAGTTGTGCAAGACAACGAAGACATCGACGGGAAATAGCCTCACACACTTGCTCGTATTCTCAACTTGCATATGCACTTATGCAGTCTACTGAATAAAAAGTGATAATTGATACTGAGTAATAATAGTGACATTAACGTGTGAGTGTTTTGTTACAGCGACAACATGGACCCAGAGGACCAGGGCACCCATGACTTTAGGAAGCATCTCCGCAAGACTAACCGCTCGGCCATATTGGAGATGGAGGCGAGGGCGGCGGCGTCCAGCGGTGGTGATGAGGGAAATCTCAACTTCCAGGTGAGTCTCGGGGCTCTCGTCTCACCTACCTCTACATTTACATTGACAGGTCAAATGGACCCCAGCCCGAACAATTAAGACGGGGTCCCATTCAAATAGTTAGGGTAAGTTGGATCAATTAGGACCCAATTGGCCCCAGTCTGACCATTAGGGTTGGGGCTCAGTCTTAATTCTAATGCACTACAAATCCAATGGAACAGGTATATGATAGTGTGGTTAGGTTGGAATTTACAAGGGCTGGCACATTTGACCTGCAGTTCTCTCCCACCTAGGGACAGGTGCAGGTTTCAAAAGTATTGTAATTTGTTTATAATAATTATAGTAATAATATTATTATTCCATAATTAGATCCATACATAGGATCCTCAGGAATGGCACAAATTCTAATACTAGTTTCAGAGATAATGTTCATGACCTCAGCAGTCCTGGCAACACAACCCTCTCCAACCATTACGGTAAACGGTAATGAACAATGTGTCCAGGCTGAAGGACCTAACGTTGATGTGATGAACGATGTGGACTTGCGTATTATTTGCTCCAGGATATTGTCTCTATACAGTCTGTCTTAAAATCAAACAATTGAGATTATGCATAGTTTCCTCTCAAACATAAAAGGAAAGCTGAATGTAAAGCTTTTCAGTGATTAGATTTTTAGATCAGCCCCATAATTGGTGGCCATCGCTGACGAATCAGATTTGATAAAATCTGAGTTGGAGCTTTAATGAAATAAACTCATGATATAGTCTACTGTCATGAGGAGATACACTGACTTATTTGAAACACCTGAGTAAAATTGCTGCATATATTGTAAGGGGTACAAATGTAAGCTAAGAATTACACATGTCATCATCACTATTTTGAAATGTAAAATTAGAACATTCTCTGGTGATAGAAACACTGTAACCATGTATATATTTACCAATACTGTATCCCATAGTAGGTTCCCCACAGTACTATAAATCCTAGAACTTGTTTTGACCTGTGAAATACCCATTTATTACAAATAGTGTAATAGTGTATTGTCAGTATATCATCATCAACCTGTAAAATTAATAACAAAACAAAACAAGATGTGCATTTTGTCTACATGATTAGACTTGTGCCCTCCTACCCCGACTCATTGTGAAGTATTTTTTCTGACAGAAGCATTTCTGAAACCTGTTTTGTAATGGTATCACCTGCCCTGCGAGCCTGCATTTAAAATCTGTTAAAGAGCTTCATTTGTTAGTTAGCATAAATTAATTATAGAGTCCAGATACAAACATCAACGAACAAATGATCAATGTAAGCAGAATCATTTACTGGTTGATGCTTGAGATTGGCTGTACTGTACTGTACTGTACTGTACTGTACTGTACTGTAGTTTTAACTCTTGGGAGAGTTATGGATTACTTATAAATGGTTTTAGTTGAGGGTTACTGTTATCACAGTTATAACTGAGTTTGCTTATATGTGTAGCTTTGTGACCATCCTGTACAGTGTCTTGACAATCATACAATTTGAACATCTATGAATCGACTCACTGTGTGAGGTGTATAAGCCAGACTTCACATCACACTAAATTTTTTCACAAAATAGGAACAAAGAGTAAGTTTACAGGAGTTGTTGTGTTACTTGTGTTGACTTGTAGTTTAAGGTGCAACGGGGTGCAGGAGGCGACCGTGGTCACACGCCTGACTCATCTGTGCCAACAGCGCTCAAGGTTGGTAACCACAAACGTTGCCACGCATTATGTTTTGTTTTTACGTTAATTTGGATTCCCCATAACTTGGAATGAAGGAACACATCTTTAAAGGGAAACCACTTTAACCGCTCTTTTGTCCAGGTTTAAATGACCCAGAAATGTGGTTCTCATACAGTACCTCTAGTTTTGGGGAATTATTAATGTATCTATTTTAGACCCCAACTTGTGTGGCAATTGTCAGTCCTCGTTTCACTGAAACATAAGCTTGTGCTTGTCTGAAACATAGTTTGAAAATATTGTGTTTGTAATGATAGTACTATAGAAACATGGATATCATGATGAAGAGTAATAAGGAGCCACACTCCTTGTAGATCTCACCGCTGGAGGACATGCAGGAGCGCATCAAAGGCATTGGTGCTGCGCCCTTCGAGAAAAATATCACAGATTTCAAGGTTTGACGCTGTTACTGCTGCTGCTACTGCCGCTGTTTCGCGTGTATATTATTTGTGCTGTATGGCAAGACAGGGAGGGACACACCCACCCAGGCGGCCTACTCGACCCTCACCAACACCCACCTGCACTACTAATTTTATCTTCAATCAAAACATCACTAAAGTCGCCTTTGACGCACTTGATTGGTTCTTAATGCGTGACATCACTAAGCCACACTGATGCCCTGCTGTCAACATTACACACACCACCACCATTACAACTAGCTTCTCGTCTGTATCTACATAATCTAACATTTCCATTTTTTAAGTTATTCCAAGTTGTAAGAACCAATCATGTGTCGATTATTGGCTGCACTGGTAATGTTGTTTGTAGAAAAAATATTGAACACATAGCCCAGTGGCGCTGTTTCTCAGTTACTGCTCCTGCTATCACTTTCGTGGGTAATATAGTGATGTGGGACAGTGAGCGTGGACAGACAGTAATCTTTTTTTCCTAAACCAGTCATTTTGTTGTGGAAAGAAATTGCGGTATAACCAAATCTCTCTTACCATATTCCAATCCTAACCTAATTCAAGGTAAATACGTAACCCAAGAGACATGTAAACATCCCTGGTAGATGAAACGGCTAACCTTAAACACATCATCATTTTATCTTCACTTAACTGGGTTAGAATAATGCTCATTAAGTAGTTCATATGGTTTCTGTTCTTCAATTTTATTAAAACAAATTGCTTCTACTACAGAATTACTGATTAAGGAAAGATTTTTGGGTCGACATGTGTGGTGAGTGTGGTCGGGGTGGCGAGTCTCTCCGCTTGAGCTACCTGCCTGCTGGCTCCGGGATACAGTGTAGTTTTTAGTTTTATTTGTAAACTCGTTTTTATGTTCTTTGCAAGGCAGGTTTTACTATATCCCCGAACGAGTTTACAGGATGTTATGTTATCATTGTCTTTTGTGTCCACGATATTAGACAAGATATGATTAAAATTGACAATTGGGTGGCCATTTTTATATTGTGTAATATAAAGGGCCAGACATGCTTAGCAGCATGCCCGTAAATTAATATGATATGGGCGTTCGGGGATATATTGCGTGCTTGAGTTAAGCAAACGTTAACACAGTCTTCTAGTTACACTTACAGTTAACAGATAAAAGTTTTTATATTGTGACTTGTTTTGTAGGTCCATATACTGGTATATATATTAGGTGCTTATTTCCAGGAGAGATAAAACGTTACCATCATATTTATATCAAAGTTTTAGTCGCAGGTAATTTACCTTACTTGACACAATGTGCAGGTTAGAGATGTAGTTTACAGGAATTGTTGTTACTTGTGGCGACTTGTAGGGTGAGGAGCGTGGGGGTGCAGGAGACGGCCGTGATGACCAACCTGTCCCATCTGAGCCCGAAGTCTGTGAGGTTGGTAACCACAAACGTAGCCACACATTAAAAAAAAAAAACTTTTATTTAAGTTCCTGGCAACTTAGGATGAGAGAACGCATCTGTTTACGTTATTGTCAGTGTAGTCATGGGCTGCATTGAAGATGTAGCTAACTTACAATAAGCTAATTAATACTGTGTCTGTGTATTTGTCAACTACGGTAATTCTTGTCTGTTCTATAACCTGGCAGCTAATTAATTACATTACATTCACGAGGTAATTTTATATCATATGCAGAGTGTTCCGTAAATACCTTTCATAAATTAGGCGTTGTATTCATGAAACTTAAATAAAGATAAATGATCAAGCTGTCAGTTCTCAATAGTTTCAGAGTTACAGCACATGACATGTTTGGTAGGAATGTGATGAAACCTATATGGGGTGTATATGAAATATCCAATACACTGTGCTAGTGACGTTTATTAACAATAATAATGCCATATGATTTGTATTGGTATTAACATTTAGAGAAAATGCTCAAATTCCGTCCCTCTTGCTCAATGCAGGCCTCAACCCGTTGGACTTGTGAGTGTCGCACACGTTCACAGACCCCAGGGGTGTTGCGAATGTTTGTCACACTGTCCTGTACACGGCGCACAATTTCTCACGGTTTGCGAATCTCGGTAACATAAACCTTGCTTTTTATGTGACCCCACAGGTAGAAATCAAGGGGATTTATGTCCGGTAACCATAGGTTTCATCACATTCTTACCAAACCTGTCATGTGCTGTAATTCAGAAACTTGAGAATTGACAATTTGGTCATTTAGTAATTTACATTTATGTCTCAGGAATATACCCCCTGAATTTGGAAAGGTATTTGCGGAACTCTGTATACAGTGTTTGACCACATGGTCAAGGTAGAGTGCTGTACTTCAAATTTTGCTGAACCTTTAAGGCCTTCCTGACCATGGCAATTTTAGTCCCCAGGTCTCTCTGGCCACCATCTTTGTGTCTTGACTTTGAAAGTCACCTCAAGTATTTCTTTTTACATTGCTATTGGTGGTGCTTTCCATGAACTGGTAAGAAGTTAAGGGTGGTATTAGAATAATTTCAAGGCCATTTTTAATCTTTGTGGTAGGTTTAAGTGACCTAGAAAGATGGGTTCTCACATCTCCAGTTTTTGGGAAAATATTTACGAATAAGTCATTGAAGATCTGGATCCTTAACTCATGTGGCAGTTGTCAGTTTTCGTCTCACTGAAACATAAGCTTCTGATTTTTTCTGAAACATAGTTTTAATATTGTGTTTGTAATGATAGTACTATAGAAACATGTATATCATGATGAAGAGTAATAAGGAGCCACACTCCTTGTAGATCTCACCGCTGGAGGACATGCAGGAGCGCATCAAAGGCATTGGTGCTGCGCCCTTCGAGAAAAATATCACAGATTTCAAGGTTTGACGCTGTTACTGCTGCGCT